ATCTGTTTAAGAAAATCTGTTTAAAATCTATTTTCCGTTAACCAGCCCTACGAACAACTCTCAAAAGTCGAAACTTGTGCGAGCTAAGAATTGGCGAGGTCTTACCTTTTAACGTGTGATTCATAACATCTTCAGATGTTCCTAAATAATGAACTGAAAAACCAAAGGAACAATACGAAATACTCAATATAATCACTTTACCCATAAATTGTTGAGAAATTTGTTGTTTCATTAAGTAAAAAACGTGTTACCGAATATTGCAAATTGTAAAAAATGTATCATCATCTTCGATGAAATCAGGTCGATTGTAACATTTCCTTTTCACAGAGTTAATATTTATTTTGTTTCTGTATTATATAATGTGAATGGTAGTGTATAACATTTTGTAAGTGCAACGTAACACTGACTGGTTAACCGAGACAATGGTATTCAAATTTATTCTCAAGTTCAGATCCTTACAAATTACAGGGTTGAAATGGAACGTATTTCACTTATTAATGAATATGTTTTGAAAGTGTTTCCAATGTGCAAACTGTGACTGGTAGTGAAGATATAATATTTTCATCATAAGGAGGCCATATAAAATTGCTGCAAATGCAAATACGTAAAAAATCGTTTAGTGAAAACCTCACAATGAAGTGTTTTTTGAATACATTATATTAAGTATTTTTTCGAGAGGAAACATTACCATGTTCACATAAAGAGCTTGAGATTTTTCCAGTTTACACCATTGGAAAGATATGATACATTTATCATTGCAAATGCCTTTTGAATTTGGATGTATTTCTACTATTCGCATTTTGAAAATTCACGAATAATAATATTATATATGAATAACATGGAATGTATCTCTACATTTGCTCATTTCACACTATATGGAGATGATATATCACTGGTTACCTCGGGCACCATCAATTTTGGAACGGGCAAGTGTGCTCGTATGTACCTTCAATTTTGGAACGGGCACACTTGCCCGTTCCAAAATTGAAGGTCGACTCTTTCAGTTGTATTGCCAATTGCATATGTAGGACATATGCAATTGCACTGACGCCTGTCGGATATAATCCAACGCCCTTCGTAGTATTAGCCAGGGGAGTAGTTGTTTTCTGATAGACGTCATTCCATTCAACCTACTGTGTAGGTATATTCGAGACTGGCTTGAACGTTTAAAGTTCATTTCTTTAGATTTGTTTACTGCCAGCCCACTGACTAATAACAAAGTAGCAGCTTATAATAGCATGATTCACAGATTAGTCAATGCTCCTCTTTCAATAGATAATTTCAATGAAGAACCTAATATCATCAAGCAAATTGCGGTTAACAATGGGTTTAAAGCCGCATTAATAAACAAAATACTTGCCAAGAAAGTCTACGCAAAAGCGATTCGAGACGTTTTTCCTATTGATAAGGTACCTAGATAATCAAAAATATAGTGTTTTAACGTATTTTGGACAACCGACGGAAAAAATGGCTTCATTTTTGAAGAAACGAGATATTAAAATTGCATATAGAGCAAGTAATACGTTGGGAAAGTTAGTTAGAATTAATAAAGACAAAACATCCAAATTCGAGAAATCAGCAATATATAACGTGCCCTAGCCGTGTGGAACGTGCCCTAAGGTATATATTGGTCAAACTGGCAGAACATTTAGGAATCGAATCCAGGAACATCATATGAGCTATGTAAATAAGAAAACAAGTTCAACATATTCAAATCATCTTCTAGAAGAAAATCATATCTTTACCGAAGACTTCGAAATTTTGCACACAGAAAATGAAGGTTTGAAACTGAATCATTTGGAAGCAGTAAACGCTTGACAAAGCTACTGTGCTAGCGAAACATCTTATGATATATTTTTCAAATTAAGTTTGTGGAGATCAAACCGTGAGGAGTAGTTTTTGAAATTAACACGAATATTGATACGAGATCGGTTCAAAAAGTAATGTGAATTTTCATTATTCACAAAAATTTGTTCAATAATTCCGAAACGTATTGTGCCGTACTTTTCTTCCTGGATGATTATCATTGAACATATAAGCAGCAGCTCTAGCACTACTTCCATTCTGGTAGTACAAACTCACTATTTCAATCCACTTTTGAAGCGTATAAACCATTGCTCCTCCAGAATTCACAAAAACAAAAACACCAATTGTAACTTCACCTGGTAGTTATTCGTTATTGTAGAATGAGACAAATACAAAATGAAGAGAATATCGAATTCAAACTTAACTAGGCAAAACAAGACTTATTTGAAGTGTACTTCACTAAAACATCACAGAAGTTTATTCAAGGTGGCTCGTTTTCAACCATAATGTATTCTAGTTTGTTTAAATCTATTCATCATGGACCATCTGATGATGCAAAACAATTGATCCATTAAAAAAATGGTGACATGCTCTGGGAGTGCGATAGGGAAAGTTAAATCTAAAGTGAATATGTCAAAATGTGTCCCCCTGTATACTATTGTTGAGGTGTTTTTTATTTTTCCTGAAAACCATTGTCCAAAAGTTATTCAGGTTCTTTACTTATCTCAGACTTTTCATTTTCCAACATCTTATTTTCAGTGTTACCTAAATCTTGTTGAAGTGAGCAAGAAGTTTTCAAGGCTTCTTTCACGATTCCTTTCTTTAAAAACTTCTAATTTGATTAGTCTGTTCATAGATATCATCGTTATTGATAGTTTATTCAAAACTCAATTCGAATGAAAAATTATCAATCTAAATTGTACAAAAATGGGATTTTCATTAGTTGTAGCAGTTCAATATAGGCATAAGGTTAAAATGTGCGTATGAAGTATTCTTCTTAGCGACTGTGCGCGTTCAAAACTTTCTGGTGATTACGATATTTTGATCATCACTAAATCAGTTTCTTAAGTAGTCGTTATTGTCACCACTGGCATCGTAAAAACGAGAGCTTTGAGATCCTACAGGAAATAATCCAAAACATTCAAGTCGGGCGACTTTGATGGCTATCTTTGAAGTTCCACACAAACTATCTGAAACGAAAAGTTCCTTCATCATACATCTACTAAATATCTAATTTGTAGAGGTACATTTTCAAACATACTATCGTACGATTTTGTCTCGATACACGGATGTTTATTTCAGTTCATCAATTGCGAATATTTGAGAATAATATTGGTTTTCTTTTTCATTTGACAAGTTAATTTTAGTATCATTGTTCCGATCGTTCAAATTAGTTCAACAGTTCAACATTCAAATAGTTTTTCTGCTCACGTTTTTTTTAGATTTTTTTGACGAAGGTTTTAGTTGTTTTCAAACAGTTTATAAATACAAGGGGCGAGCAATAATTCCAGTTCCTTATCACAAAATTAAACATGACGCAACAAAACAGAATTGAATATTATAAAGCTTTGCAAGACATTGACCGTATGAGTGAATTATATATCAGTGCTAGCTAATTCAGCAAAATCTTCCTCATATTCTCATTTTAATAAAATTAATGAAGAGTTTGAATCTCATAATGTATTGTTAATTCCTCTTCAGATTTCGACAGATACCTACAATAATGATGAATTTGAAGATCTATCAAAGACTTCTTATGAAAATCATTACTTTACTGAATCCATTCATGATAATCTTTTTGTTAATATCTACTACACTGCATATTGCATACAAGTACTACCGGAATATCTTTAAGGCGTTCTAAGAGCGGTGTCTGTACGAAAGTAGCGATTCACATTGGATTTGAATAGCTGGAGATTGAATCCATTTGGAAAAACGTTCTCAAAAAGTTTATTCCACATAAACGCAGTTCTCCAAATGGAAGAGTTCTTGAACAGTGAAGTTCGAGGTGTACTGAGTTGAACCTCAAAACGATGAGCAGCCAAAGTTCGTCACGTATTTCTGATATGTACCGCTCTTGGTGGAATCAAATGTGCCAAGTCACTTGAACAGTTTCCGTGAAAGTATCTATAGAAGAGAGACAAATATCCAACCATTCTTCGATATTCCAGACTATCAAAGTTGCAAAAGATGTTCGCGACTCCAATCAGGCGGATGGGTCTTTTCTGGATGGCATCCAGAAGCTTCAGGGTATACCTAGGGGCAGAGCTCCATACATGAGAACATTTCTACAAAGGTCGGATCTGGGAACCTCAACCCTTGGTTTTAGGTGTGTTTTCTGTTGGAGACAACATTCTACCTGTTATCAACTCCCTATGGGCAATTTTTCAGTTTCAAGAATATCTCAACTCAACCTTTCTCATCCATTGGCTTAGACTTTGGAGGTTCATTCACCATTTCGTTGGTGAGATTTCGTGGTTCTAAAACTCATTAAGCCTTCATATGGCTCCTCGTTTGCTTTGCCACTGAGGCTATGCATTTAGAGTTGGCAACAGATTTATCAACGGAAATGGTGATCAAATTCTCACGTATGGAGAATTTAACACATTGTTGGGTCCGATTGAGTTCTTCTTAATAAGAGACCCCTTTGTCCCGCTATTATCGATCCCAATGACCCATCCGTTCTCACTCTAGGACAGTTTCTGATTACATTTCCTGATTACATTTCCCGATGAAGATTATTCTTTTCTGAAATTGGGTACCCTTTCTCGTTGGCAGTTAATTCAGAGACAACATAGAGATTTCTGGAACCTTTGGAAATTCCAATATTTGCACACTTTATTCCAGAAAGGGAAGTGGACAAAACCCACAAATATTAATATCGGAACTATGGTCCCAATTAAAAATGAATTCATTCTGATATTCATCCTGGTCGAGATAGAATCATGCGGATTCGTACCTCTCAAGGGCTGTTGAAGGACTCACTGGTGAAGGTCTGCCCTTTACCACTTCACTAGAATCAAAATGCTACTGCATTGTTGTTCAGCTCTTATTTTCATTTATTATTCTTATTATTTTTATTTGCCTCATCCAAGTCTTTTCTGAAAGCATTTTTGTTTGTATTACATTTTTATTATCCATACTGCGTTGTTTCTGTGCTCGGTTCCATTTTGTGAATATATCGCGCACCCCTTGTATACGATATTCCGTCAAAAAAACGGCTCGAACGCTGAAGAAGCTGCCAAATGAAAGAAGATTGGTGTTGCTGTGAAACCTGACATGATTCTCAAGGTAAGCAAAGTTCGGTTCGATTTAAAATATTTGCTCTCTCTCCATTTACAAAAATCACGCGGAAGTACAACATTCAGATTCATATCATAGGAAATACAGTTCACATACAGTGTTACTCAACACCTAATAAATCCTGGTTTAGGAAAATATGATCCAATGAAATGATCAACAATGATTCCCGTTAATTTGTTCACCGAAAATTGCTGTTGAAATCCACTCTTCTCAATGATTGGAGAATTTTCATACCATCAGAAACGATGATTCTGGAAAGTCTTGTTCAATTCAGTGACATCAAATGATATACCTACTCTACTTTCCATAACTGCTTTTGAAAAATAATCCAAACACATCCTTCTGAACTTAAAATTCATAACAAAATGTCACTATACAAATATGAAATACGCGCACACGCATACACAGACAAAATTGTATAAATACTGAAATTATCCTATAACAAAGGTCACGAAGGTTTTATCACAATATCTTGATCTCATAATATGGAGTGCCTTGCGGTACTCCTATTTTATCGTTCGTGGATCACTTATGGTGTTATTCAGTTCAACTATTTGTGTCATATCTGAGAGATAACTGCGAAAGACATTCAATACTGTTTCTCGTATTCCATAACATTCCAGTATATGGAGGAGCCTCTCATGATTCACACTAATAGGGGAGCCCAAGCGGGGATTTCGGGATTTACTAAAGCGCGGCAGATTAATATACAGGTACCCGGTTGAGTACCTCCACCAAATATGAGCCCCATATATAAGGCCGCCTGTGAGGGATAAAGGATCAGATTATTAAAAAAAAAATTGATCATTATAAATTCTCGAGCGCGTCAGATTAAGGTAGGGTGAGTTAATTACCTGCTAAAAAGTGTATATTCCAGTAATCTGACAATTTGAGAGTGACGTAAAGGAAGGGGAGGGCAGCAAAGTGGTAATAAATAACGTCACTTCGACATTTTCGAGCGTAGCTAATTTTTTTTATTTTGAAGGAAATAATTCAAAGATAACGAAAAATATATAATCTGACGATTTCTGCAAGCCGAAATAACAAAAATTCGTCGATAAAATTTAATGCATGCATCTGTGTGATACCTATATTTCCTTCTCCGAGTTTCTATTCCTCTATTCACTTTTTCTCTATCTAATACTCTCTCACTCCGTCTCCACTCTGAATTCTGTTGCCATGACGTCATCACAGCTGATCACAGAGACTCGTTCATGATGATGATGATGATTAAATAATCAATTAATTGATGGATGTAGCCGTTACTAAACTTTCTTTTATTTGTAACTAACGTTAGTGCAGTTTCGTCCTATAAGGAAATTTTCCAACTTATACAATAACAATTATTCTACTTAAAAAATATACACTTATTTATTTGCATGCTATTTCCTGAGCTTTTCAATTAATTGAGTTCAATGAATTAAAAAAAATAAAGAAAAATATTGTTTTTGTCATATTAAGCGAATCCCTCTAGATAATCGTCAGAATATGAGACAGCACGTCTAAAACATAAAGATGAACCATATATATCTTAATCTGACGCTCTTGAGTATTTCAAAATGGCGAATTTTTTTTGCACATTATAATAATAGCCGCGAGTTTGCGTCAGATCGAAATCGTCAGCTTATTGAATGAGAGCTTTTTTTTGTTGCACTTAACACCCCTTTAGAAAATCTGACGCGCTCGATTAAATTTTATTTCTTTTCATTTTTAACCCTTACGTACAACCACCCACATCATGCAAACGATCAGATTAACATACCAACATTATTAAAAATACGTAGGACATTGATGCTATCAATATCTGACGCGCTCGAGTATGTCCATACAAAAGTATTTTTTTACATATTTAAAAATCTATAGCCGCTTCCCCCACCGATGAAAAGGTATATATTATATAATTTTTTTTTTCTTCTTATCATCTGAGTTTTGCAACCTAATATGTCTCAATGACGCTCGCGTAAATCCCCATTTTGCATCGTGGGCTCCCCTGCTATATTAAATGCTTTCGCTAAATCACTGCGATACATTTCTTATCAGCACCTAATGTTTCAGTAAATTCTATTAGGACCGAACACATTGCATCAGTGGTAGATTTACCATTTCTAAATTCAAACTGCTGTTGGTGGATGATACTGTTTGAGTCTAGAAAGTGTACTAACATTTCTCAAATATTTTTCCAAAATTATTGATAACACTAATGGGTCTGTGATTACATATATCAGTTTTATCCCCAGATTTGTGTATGGGTGGAAGATGATATTGAATATATGTTCTAAAGGTGTGAGAATATATAAATGAATTTTTTCAATGATATCAGTTTTGATGTCATCAATGCATGGTGAACTACTATTTTTAAAGAAGAGATATGTTTGATTAATTCATTTTTCATTACCTGAGTCAGAAACATGTTGTTAGTCTTGGTCAAAATATTTTCAGTAATGTCAGGATCAACTATGATCTTTGTGTTTGTAGCGTCTTCGATCAAATTGGAGATTTTTACAGTCTTGAAGAATATGTTTACGGTAATATTCATCTTTGACATTTTTGATATGGTTAGGTCTTTTAGTGTTACTATCGTAGTTTGGAACTGTCGCAGTTTGGAACTGCATCCTAACGTTTTGCCAGCACTAGCAGCTGGCTTCTTTAGAGGTTTGTTCATCTTGATGATTCACCGATGACTGGTGATTTCTGGTTCGTCGGTTGTATTTAGGTTTGTTCTGGTTCTAATATCCGAAACTGTTTGGAAACAGCGCAAGACATGATGCATACAAACAAAAAATCTCAAACAGACCGAAATAGTCTCGGACACTTGGCTAAACCAGAACGCATTTTGAGGAGACCACTGTATCACTTATGATATATATGAAGAAATAAAGACGAGAAAATACTGTTGATCCTGTCCATTTTCTTATGTAGCGTATCCTTTTGTAGTCAGTTCAAATGTTATCTCACCTCAATCATATCCTAGAAAATGGACTAAACAAATTTCCACATGAATGCGCATGAGCAACGGGAACAGTTCTCAATATTTCGGTGTATCCTTTCCGAAGCTCTGGTCTATCAGATTTATTCCTCACAGTCGTAGGGGGCTGTGGAGAATAATTATTTGGAGTCGTAGGGGGCTGAAGAGAATCTATCATTCCTCAGAGCCGTAGGGGACTGTGTGGCATGGTTAGTTCTTAGAAACGCAGGTTTCTAAATGCCCAAAATGGAAGTTCTCAACAGTTCAGCCTCGAGAGCAAGAACGATTCGTGACGGTTCACCTAACCTAACCTAACCTAACCTAACCTTACCTAACCTAACCTAACCTAACCTAACCTAACCTAACCTAACCTCGCATTCGAAACCACTACAGAGGATTCATCAATCCGAACTTATCCTCAATGAACCAGAACGCTCTATAACAACTGCGCATGATCCTGACATCCTAGAACCTGAATTTCGTAGAACCAGAACAAACCTATAATGTTTATCCAGGTAGTCCGCCTCTCTTGATGATGTATTGCTATTGGCCGAAGTGTTATAACATGTTAATGACGTATCTATTCCTGCCGTACCTGTAAATCCTAACCAATAACAATCAGCTAGTAACACTCATTTCTGTGAGATTTGTAATCCTGCTCTAATTCTGAAGAAAACTTGTTCAGTATTCTTTTTTTCAGTTTGTCCCTGTTATTATTAGATACGATAAGTCCTTCTGTTATCCAAGGTTTAATTTCAATTACTTTCTTTGAGTACTTGTGGGGGATTTTCGAATTTTCTAGGTATTCATTTAATGTTGCTTTTTGAGCCCCATTAACTGTAAGGATATTTTGCCAATGCTTTTCTTTGATTATTCATATCAATTCATTTATGTTAATTTTGGAAAAAAAACTACCGAATTATGTACGCCATATTTTATAAACACGCTATAACCTATTTTCAAGGAATCTTGGATCATCCCATAAATGTATGACAAGAAACTTCAATTTTTTGTATCGTTGACATATTGTATTCAATATCCAAAACTGATATGAGCATAGATGAGAAGCTTCAGAAACACTTAACATCTTTCGAAATGTATTTGAAGAAGGCCAAAAGAGAGTTCGAAGCAAGAATAAAAGAAGAATTGAAAGAAAACGCTAGTTTGGAAGATTTCAAACTCATGAAAACACTTGGTACGGGCTCTTTCGGTAGGGTGGTTTTGTGCCAGTACAAGGATTCTGTTAAAAAATTATTGGCTATGAAAATTATGGAGAAAGTTAATATAATAAGGACTAAGCAGCTTGTGCATACTATTTCGGAAATTAGATTTTTAGATGCCCTTAAATTTCCATTTGTGATACGTGAGTATTGAAAGTACTAGAAATTGTCATTCACATAGTTTTCTTTGATCAATTTGTAATGTATATTGAGTAGAATGTTCCATTTTTGATAATTCCAATGTCAAGAACTAATTTTTCTTATTCACACTTGAACAATAATACAGGGTAAATGAAAACTCAATACAGTTTTGACATGAACTTTCATTGAATATAACTTTTTCTATAAAATAATTTATCGCAGATAAACAACCATCACCGGAGGTTGATGAGGGTGGTTTGCTCCACTCACTCAATCAACCATTGTGTGAACTGGTGGTTCAAACCGCAAGGCCGAACGATCGATTTTCACTTTCTATCGTCCAACCTGTGCTAGGAATCACAAGTTAAAATGTGAGACCTCGTTAGTTCTTAGCTCGAACAAGTTGGGACATGTCGTTCGTAGGGGTGTGAAAGCTAATTAACGGGAAAACAGATTTAAACAGATCACGATACACTCGCTACACTCAGTATAATAATAATAACAATAATACTCGAGGGTATAACTGTGGCACCCCCGGAAACCGGAGGCACGAGGTCACCCATCTGTTTTATATGGATGATCTTAAACTTTATGCCTCTGGAGAGAAAGATCTTCATCAGTCCTTGAGGGTGGTGGAAGAGTACAAGCATGCTATCGGTATGAAATTCGGAATAGACAAATGTGCAATGGTCCATCTCAAAAGAGGAAGATGCGGGGACTACGGAGAGGATGTGCAGTTCGTAGATGGAAGCATCCTACACCATCTGGATGCCGGAGAGACGTATACTTACCTCGGGGTAGAACAACGCCACTCACAAGAGGTGACAGCAGTGAAAAACTCTCTCCGCGGCATGTATCAGCACAAACTTCGACATATCTGGTCATCGGAACTGTCGGGGAAGAACAAAGTTGCTGCAACAAATATGTTTGCCGTTCCAATCTTACTCTTCTCGGGAGGCGCTGTATCAACTCGATGTAAAGACCCGAAAAATGTGCATCTCTATAGGAGTTTGCATTCCAAATCGTCCGTTCCACAGTTGTACTTCCCCCGACAAAAGGGAGGCCGTGGACTTTTGAGTTTGGAGTGTCTACATGACAGAATGGTACAGGATACAGCCTGTAAAGTCGTCAGGAGTTCGGATCCCCTTCTCTGCATGGTCCGTGACCATGAGAGAGCAGGAATTGGAGCATTTCTCCTCAGGGCAGCGGCTCGAGCAGCTGATGAACTCGGTATAGTTTTCGACTCTGAACGAGGTGATCACAACTCTGTCACCGAGTTGGAACCCGTTCAGCAAAAAGCTCAGATAAAAGCCGCAGAGATCACCTTACTTCTGCGGAGACACAAGGATAAGCCAATGCATGGGGTCTTCTTCAATAACATTGGAGACCTTGGCTTATCAAAGCGCCTGACGTTCGCTTTTCTCAGGTCGAGTGGGCTGAAGTCGGAGACTGAGGGGTTCATCATGGCTTGCCAGGATGGTGTCTTCAACATCTTAGTCTACCGCAGTCGGGTGATGGGTATAGAGGTTCCTGACACATGGTGCAGGGCCTGCCGCGAGGCGCCCGAGACCCTGATGCACTTGCTATCAGCATGTCCAGTATATGCGGTCTCGGTCTATATCCACCGACATGACGCGGCCCTAAGAGTGCTATATTACCATCTATGGCACTCTTGCGGTATTGACGAGACACCGGTGTTGCCCTACGCTCCGGGGGATATTGAAGCCATTGTGGGGAACGAGAAGTGCCGAATTTATTGGAACTATTCGTTCCCCACCCTCAGGCTCATAAAGGCTAATAAGTTTGATGTAGTCCTTCTCGACCACCAGAGAAAAATGATATTTGTCGTGGAGTTTTCAGCTCCTGGCGAGACGAATATCGTCGGAAAAGATGAGGAAAAACGGATTAAATATCGAGATTTTCTCTTCGAACTCCGCAGACTCTATCCAGATCACTCTGTCAAGATGATTGTTCTGATTATTGGAGTCCTTGGTGGAATGATGTCCTCTCTACTCTCGAATCTTAAAATCATACCGGCTTGCCGCACCAAGGCAGAAATCTCAGCTGCACAGATGCAGAAGGCTGTCATTCTTGGCTCACTGCGCTTGCTCAGGCACATGATTCTCGGACCCAATGATCACTTACCCCACGGTGTGGGGAGTGGTCATTGGTTGATAATGCTGGCGCGCCCTCCCGAATGTATCGGGGCTTCGGGGATAGGGCCTGACCAGCGCACACTACGGTGAAAATAATAATAATAATAATAATAGCCTTTATTATCATTAACAATAAATCTTGTGGACAAAGCGTTTGAAAAATAAATACAAATGTGAATATAGAAGTATAAAATGTGAATAAAAAAACACCCACAAAAAAGTAAAGTTAGAACATACACCACAACATGGTTGTGTACAGACTTGTTTAAAAATATTATCAACACTTATATACTAGACATATAAACATATATACTCATATATAATATTACATAAATAAACTCACTCATTGCTCCAGACAATCAAACATTTATATCCAACTACTACAACGTAAATTCAAATATGCACATTTTGTCTCGTAAATGTATCATTATAGAACTCTTGCAAATTATAATAGGGTCTATCAGCCAAAAATGTATTTACTTTTATTGTAAACATTTTGTTGGTCAAATATGCCTGTCGTATATCTGAGGACAAGTGAATAAACATCTTGACCCCATTGTAATAAATAGATTTCTTGACCAAATTTGTTAAAGGAATTGGCAATTTCAATGCGGTGGAACGGGTGCTATAAGAATGGCATGAAGCCTCAGGGAGATATTTTCGTAAATGAGGCAAACCGATTCCAACGAGGTTTAATCTTACACTTATACCTAATAGCCCGTTTCTGCAGTACCAATACAGACAGAAGTGCTGATGAATTGCATACTCCCCAAAACTGTATTCCATAACGTAGGTGGGATTCAACGAGGGCGTAATACACCGTTCTGGCAGTTTTGATTCCCAAATCATTGAAGTTACTCTCACTGCATAACATCCAGAACAAATTTTACTTTTAAGTTGTTTGATATGTTCAGTAAATTTGAGCTTATTGTCAATGTGAATACCTAGAAATTTAGATTAGTTCTCGTTCTTGATCACTAAGTTATCACCAAATGACAGGTCATCAAGAGCACAGTAGTGGTACATTTGGAATTGTCGATGACGTAACAGTACTTGTATCTTCAATTCGAACCAAGTTGATACTGTTTATGTGATAATAGTGTCGTCATCTGCTAAACAATGAATTTTTTTGACTATCGGTAAATAGGATAAGTAACTTTCTTTATGGTATAAATTTTGAATCTCCCACCATGGCTATTGTGGACATTGGTTCCATCCTCACATTGAGATGAGGAAACCGCACGTTGAAGGCAATACCTCGTTAATCTTTAACTCGTACAATTTTCACCTTTTGAAGGTTCGTATGGAGACGAAATCCATTTTTTACGTCATCTCAACTTGCATTAAATATATGAAGTTACCGTATATCAAACGATAATATAGTTTTCTTGCACTTTTACACTCAAATTGAATACAAGACTGTGTTTGTTGAAAACACATTTTTAGAAACATTTAACACATCAGAATCAAACAATCAAGTTACCAAATAGGCAACGCTTATTTCTTCATCGTTATTATCCTTTTTCTTGGGATCCTTTGATTGCATTATTTGTTCTTAACTATTCTTTACTACCCTAGCAAGGGAGTCTCAGTTTTCAATACAATTTTTCATTTTAGAGATGGAGTACTTCTTCAAAAACAATGTTTATTTATTCCTGGTCATGCCTTTCATCAACGGAGGTGAAATGTTTTACCATTTGCGGAGCAACAAGAAGTTTGACGAGAATTTGTGCAAGTTCTACACTGCTCAAGTGATTTTATCTTTTGAATACATACACTATTTGGGCATAGTATATAGGGATCTGAAACCTGAAAATATCCTAATAGACGATGAAGGATATTTGAAAATAACGGATTTGGGTTTTTGCAAAAAAATCGATAACCAAAGGACATACACGCTATGTGGTAAGGAATTTGGATTATTTTGGTAAACACGAGAACTATAGCTAAAAAGCTTTCAAAAATGTCAGGGCTCTTAAAAAAAATCACCTAGGTCCGTTGAATATTATTTTAGAGGTTTTTTTTTTCGCGTGTTTTCAACTTTGCCATTTTCACCCCCTCGGCAAGGTGAGATTAAACCCTTGAAACTCAAATGGAATAGGGATAAGTCGATTCCTTTTTTAAAAGGCCCACGATTTCTCTCTTCAAACATCTCTACTTTCTGAAGTTTGATGCAGTAAAGATATTGAGTTAATAACAAAAGTCAACAAGAATAAAATTAGTTTTTATCAAATTGTGAACGAAACCCTCTTAATGTCAGTTTTGAAAAAAAAGTATCATTCATTCCAAGCACAGGTTTAACATTACGACCTTACCAAGTAGGGGCAATGCATAGAATCAACATGGAAAATTGGTCAAATTACTAACATTTTCTTCAGAAAATGTTCAAAATGGTGCCCTCCTGCTTCCAAATAGTAATAATACTTTTGTTCAATCATCTAGGGATGCTAGTTGAGTTTTACAAATTGAACTGAGCCTAGAAACATGAAATGAAAACAAATCGGGGGACCTTCCGGCTACTTAGCCTCTTTCACTGATTCATCTACTCGAAAAGGATTAGTTCAAATACTGACGAACAGTAAAGGTATAGCGAAGAGGTGCCCCATCTTGTTGAAATGTTAACTTATAACACTTAATGCCTAATTGACAGTGGTCCAACACTGTAACTTTAACTTCTACTACTCCATTTCTCATTTCATTTGTATTGTTTATTTTGCTGCTGATCATGATTTCCTAAAAGTGGCTGCAAGTTTGTTGTATTTGCAAGCCAGTGAAAAAAAGTAATACTTGTTAAAAACTGTACTAACCACACAATGGAAAACTAGACTTATAAGTGAGAAAAAACATAACCTTTGATTTTTGGCAGGTGTTCTTAATGGCATATGCCTCAATATTTATTGCACCTAATTGAAAACATAAAAAGCATTGAGAAGAGAAAACGATGACCTTTCTAATGAGGTATAGCTTAACCTCTATCCCATTTCAGATTTATTATGATTGAATTTCATCTCGTCGAGTAATTGTAAATGGCGATGTTGAAATTGTTCACAAAACATTTCCATCTCAAAATAAGAATGGACGCGTCCCAGCGTTCTTTTTATAAATACCATTTATTCATCCTGTATAGAAATTTATATTTAAGTAAAGATGTCAACAAAGTTTCAAATGTTAAGAAAATAGACAGGCACCCAGAGTTAATTAGAATGGAAGTTTTGAACACTTGATTTTTCTGAAATTTACTACTCGCCACAAAGTTACTTGAAGACACCCACCGCTGTTTTAAATTTATACTTTTAATTCGAGGTGAATGTTCTCAAAGTCGCCACACTGTCTGGCCATTCTTTAAATTATTAACGCCAAACGAGATATGCATACACTGCAATATAGATTTTTTTAAATGTTTCAAATATAGTATATGTTTTGAAAAAAAATCAATTTCCAAGGAATTAAATTCTATATTATTGTTTCCGAGATGGAGAAGTAAGATAAGTTCATTATTTTCAACGTATTCTCATTTGAGTTTCTCATTGAAATAACATCTGTACGCCTCAAGCATATAATGCCCTTTACACCATATAATTTTAAATGATATCAAAATAATAAATAAAGTCAAGGGACCTGACCTGTTGTATTTATTTAGATAGGTACTTACCTAATACGAAAATAAAATTAATAGCTGTAAACATTCTTGCATGAACTGAGTGAATTTCATCAAGAGTCATTATTATTATACCTGGCTTCGTTCAGGAAGTTGGATTTGTGTGGTAGTTGGAATAAAAAGATAAACTTTGAATCATGGGAAGTTGACGGGTATACCCTGACCAATGGCTAGCCCCACACATAACGAAAAGTGGCTTCGAATGGTCCACAACATTCCCGAATGTTGTGGAGTGCTCTCGAATACTCTAGAATGTTCCGGACTATTCTAGAAATTTCTAGAGAGCCAAACTTCCAGCCTCCATATTTATGAAAGCACACCCGTCAGCTAAAAACGTACGTATAATTAACTGGATCGTTCTATAATGGCCTGCGATGTTCCAGGACCTTCCTGACATTCCAGTTCTGGATTGTTCTTAAACTTTCTAGACAGTGAAACATACAGCCTTTATATCTTCAAAGCACCCCCTTCTGCTAAAACTGGAAACCTTCTTCATGGACGAACTGATGTGACACTATGACGGAAAAATGAAGTCAGACACATAATTGAATAGTTGAATGTTACGGGTTCAGAGTTTTATTGTCAAAAGTAGTAATCGATCTGAGAAACCAAACTCTTTGCGACGTGACGTTTCGATTATCAGTATTCATTTTCACCTTGTGATGTTGACCGACCTATGATACATTACTTATTGGTCAGATAGGTTTTTTAACCCATTTCAACCTTTTGAGATTGTGCGATTCTCAGATTATGTGCACTGCAGCCCGTTTTCCCTACTTGATAAAGTTTTCCATATATTTCGCATCTCCGCGATGGCCTACTTGAATACAGTGTTGTTCAACATATAAACTTCTTTATATTGGCTACTGATTGTGTCTTCAGATGTGAAGCAGGTTCTGATCTTGAATTTATGAGAATCGAAGAATCGGATCTAAAGGTGTATATCTTTGAAGTTGACTCATATTTTTCATGGTTTGTGATGTTAACCGTGAGGTTTGTGTCGACAGTTGTATTTCGATATCAGTGGCCATCAAAATATTCCGAAATTTCTATTGAACCCGATTTATAGAAGCTTTGTAAATTTTCTAATCTGAATTAGCCCACCCTTGCTTCTCTCATTATAAGATTCGAGATTTTCATTGCTGTTCTTGATGTTGTTCCCATTACTATCATGTTGCCCAACTAGCGGTCGCTTGTTTCATCTTCAGCCACAGAATGAAAGATGCCTATTTAGGTAGATAGGTAGGTGCAAAGTGAGTGGGTCTATTTGCCCCTCCCCTAAAACTCTACCGAATAAATCCAGCTTCTCAACGAAGCCGATTCTTTTATTGGGCGAGTGAAATGCTGATTCAGATCGCAGCAGAGTGAACATAGAGTACTATGTATGTACTATGTATGTACGTACTATGTACGTATGTATGTACTATGTATCGAGTATGTGCTCTGTTACCAGAGCACATACTCGATCGTCATACATGTTTCTCAGTCTAGTGAGGACCTGAACGGCTGTCCGACTTTCTTCGTCAGGTAGGCAAGCAATACAAATATAAAGCATAGTAGGTATTTGGTCTCCTGTGACGTATTCAGGAAGTTGCTCTCACCCATCAGCCCAGAGATGCTCTCCCAACCCTCTCATGTAATCCGCAGCCTACCAGGCTGCTGCCAAATCTACATATGTTGATTCAAAGCCCATTCGGTCTAATTTCCAAGCCTGCATTGTGGGGGGTTTTAAAAGTATATGATCTGCCTTAGTTCTGTTCATGAAAGCTATGATCCATTTGAATCGGTTTATGTTAAATTCTTTCTCGACACATCTTGTTATAATGTTTGGGACCTGCTGCTTCCGTTCCCTCACTTAGATATGGCCCGACATAAAGTCGTTATTATTGACACATTTGTTGTGATAGTATATTAGTCTGGGTTTAGTGTTCTATTAGGCAATTATGCAAACAACATAATATTGACTGGGTTTTATTTGGTCTTTGCCAAATCCCGTGCGACTTTCCAGGTTTCGGTATGATGGTGGCCCTAAAACAACTTTCATGTTTTAGGTATTTATCCCAGAGCCAAAGTTGCTCTGAGGGTTGCTCAGTTTGGAAGTTCCGGTCCTTCTTGTAGCATTACTGAACATTATCTGGTCCCGGTGATTTATAGTTGGAATAAGTTTACAGCCCATTGCCAATTTAATAGTCTCCAAACCTGCAGATTCCCTTCTTCCCTGGGTAGTGTTACAACCTTTCAGCTTTGACTAAATTGCGCTCTACGTTCCTGAATTATATTTCGTCTATGAAGAAACACAGCATTTGATCTTTCTTTTTCTCTTAGCTACCGAAGTGAACTGTTATGAAGATCAAGGCCAGAAGTTGTTGATTTGGCGGTGTAAGAAACGAAAAAACTACTTTAAAGAATTATCTATCGCTGTCACCAATGTACGTATATGCGTGGATTCATAATAATAAATAAGTGGCACGCTTATTTGAAGTTGACATCATTATTCATCAACACAAATAACAAACAAGTTGGTACTTTGTAATTATCACACTTATTGTCGTTTTTCACTGTCGTTTTCTTCGCTCGTGAACTATTCTTTTCGAATTGATCCACGGACTAATTGAAACTGTTCGATTTCTAAGCTATTCGCATGCTCTTGTATGATCTATAAAATGTCAGCTGACAGTACACAACTATTTTTTGTTATGACATGAATTCCATTTTCCGATCAAAAACTGAACGGTTCAACCATACGTCTTTACACCATTTTCTCTTACTTAAACTGAATAACAGCAAAATCCTCAAATTTTCACTTATGTCAAGATGCATGACTCACAAACATCTGATATTTTCACAGGTACTCCAGAATATTTGGCCCCGGAGATAATCCTCAGTCAGGGATACACGTTCACTGTTGATTGGTGGTCATTAGGTATTTTGATATACGAGATGGCCGCGGGCTTTCCTCCATTTTTCGCAAGAGATCACATGAAACTTTATGAGAAAATTGTAGCTGGGAAATTTGCATGTCCACCACATTTTTCAAAACCTCTTAAAGATTTGATGGTGAATATTCTTCAAGTGGATCGAAGCAAAAGGTATTTGTTGATGAATATTCATTGATTTGCGAAACAAACGAAGGGTTGCTAAATTTTTTCGGAATTGAATTTTAGATAGATAGTCTATGCTACGGTTATTTCACTGATAAGTGGTCATTCGACAGGCAGTACTTACCAAACCCTCACTTAGGGTAGCAAAACAAAGAACTATCAAATTAGAAAATCGTGAACACACTAAATATCTAAAAAAACTTGAAAACTAGAACTGCACATTTATACATCTTTCCAATATACTATGAACTCAAGTAATATATGCATTAGTACTTTCAGTCTCTAACTTGTAATTTGTAATTAGTTCTGAACATTTTTTTGACTACAATTTGAAAAAATCTGAATTGCTCTCGAAAAAGCACAATTAATTAAAGATCTTTTGGATAAACCAATATTGTTCATTGGTGATATGACGAAAAAAAGCTACCGCCGCTGTCTGTAAGAGTGTGCAAGAGCATCCAAGACAGTCGATTTCGCGTTGCTCACAAAAACTCGGCCTTTCGCAAACCACAACTTGACGAATTTTGCGTCGTGACTTGGGCCTGCACTCGTACAAAATTCAACTGACCCAGAAACTGAAGGTAAACGACTATAGACAATGACGTTCAATGAGGTTCACTGAAAAATGATCTTCAGCGATTAGGCCCATTTCCGGAGGAATGAGTACGTGAACAAACAAAATTGTCGAATTTGGGACGATACCAATCCACATGATATTGTTACGTTTTTCCCCGTGGGTTGACCAATGATTGACTACATTGAATAATCAAACTTAACAATATTCTACTTTTAAATACAACAAACACTTCAACTAAAACTTCAGCTATTATTTGAATGTATAATGCCTTACTAGATCACTTCGCGTACTGCACTGTAACGACCACTTGACTGTGTGAATAAGCTTGGGCCAGCGTTTAAATATCGCAATCGAACATCTTAGAATTTTCGCCGAAGTTCCATCGACATCGGTAGCATGTTTCTCGCTGCTTCTCGAGCGGCAGGGAACATTGGACATTTCCGCGCTCTTAGCTATGTCACGTTTGGTTTATGGTTACCAGTGGTTGCCGGCGTTACTTTCTTTCGGGCATGATTTACAATACTGAAGTGATCTAGCAAGGCGATATACATTGACATAGTTTTAGCTGAAGTGTTTGTTGTATTTGAAAGTGAAATAAAGTTAAATTTGATTATTCAGTGTAGTCAATTATTGGTCAACCTACGGGGAAAAACGTAACAATAATCAAGAGCGCCCAATACATCCCGAAAAAGTCACTGTTTGATGTGGATTTCAGGCATGCGTTATCGGTCTATGTTTCTTTGAGAACGATGTTGGCCAGGCCATCATTGTCAACGGCGAGCACTATAGGTCGATGAATACCAACTTCTTTTGGTCTAAATTGGATTATCTGGATACCAACCAGGACGGCGCTACGTACCACACAGTTCATGCCACATTGCATATTCTGCACGAACGATATGAGTGCATGAGGTGATGTGAACTGGCCACCGAGACCGTGCGATTTGACCCCGTTAGATTTTTTCTCTAGGGGTTTTCTTAAGTCGCAGGATATGTGAATGAGCCACAAACTACATCGGTCTTAAGAGTCATGGAAAATTGGACGTTTCGAATACGTTCTACCCACAAAAGTCGTGGCGGACATTTGAACGATGTTATATTTCACACATAATAGCATCAATAGGTATTTCGAACGAATGAAAAATTTCGATGATCACACACACACACTTTGTTTTATTTAAATTCGAAGATAGGAAGCGTTTAATATATGCCGATCCGATGTATATACAGTGTGTCCATAAGGATCCTAAGCATGGGAATCTCAGTACCTGTTGGAGATACAGCTTAGGTTAAATTAGGAAAAAGTTGTGTTCTTTAAAGCTTATTTACATGCCGTTTAGAAACTTGAAGAATTTTCATGGCCTGCTGAGATATTTGGGAAAAACGAGAATTTGACAATATCAATTTTATTTTTTTCTGACTTTATTTGAAAAGATATCAAAAAACGAATAACACTTTTTCATTGNGGATTACTTTCCCATTGTTGAATTATCAATTATTATTATTATTAAATTAAAATAATTAATTAATTACTACTTTTACTAGATATCAATAAAATTTATTTTCTAAGCGCACATCTTTCAAATTCTGTCCGTTAGACCTCAAGTATCATACCTTTTCGGAATCAGCTCGTTACGGATTTTCTAAAACTAACACCAAATACAGGATGTTGCATTTAATAAATTATCGATGATGTCATCACATCAATATGGATCACTCTGTATAATGAAATTTTGTTGTAAAATGTAAAATATTAAAATTGAAATCGACATGTTTCAAGTTTTTGTAAAATGACCTTTTGTTTTGGAATTATCGAATATATTCCATACTAGATTCCCATGCTTAGGATCCTTATCTTGGACACACTGTATATAAATGTCACCCGATATATGCGGTGTCAACAGTGTATCGATCAGTTGTACTTGACCGCTATAATATATTAGATTAATATTAGCTTTGTATATAGACTATATACAAAGTATATTAGGATCACTGACCTGATCTGTAACTTTATTAGTTCACTTACTTCTCAAAGTTTCAAGTTTCTTAATTATCAAAATTAATACTTCATTTATTTATCAGTGTTATCCAACATACATATTTTTGAATAATTTATTTTATATTCCCATAAATATAGATCAATTTCTGCCTATCATGCGGAGATCTATCCTAATATATGGGTCATGTTTTATTTACTTAATTGCCTATGTTTTTTGTGTTGAGTCAATATTGGTGTTTTGTGGTAAATAAACTATTATTACTATTATTATATTCTGTTTTTATAGGTACGGTGGGCTTAAAGGGGGATCAAAAGACATCAAGAGCCATGAGTGGCTCAAAGGTACGGATTTTGACCAAATTTTCAGCAGAAAAGTGAAACCCAGTTTTGTACCAGTATTAGACAACCAGGGAGATACAAAGTTTTTCGATTCTTATGGAGAAACTCATATTCGAGAAGCGTCTTTCAACGAATATGAAGAGGAGTTCAAAGATATGTCACTCAAGTGACACTTACTTTTATTGTGATATTTGGCGTACCGTTTATATTATTTTAGAACTTTAAAACTGTTATAAATAGCCACTTACTTATTATATTTTACGTAAAGGAAATCGTGCAATTCTATTTTGGATTTTCTTTGGTTGAATGTATTGGCATGGATCATGGAATCTTTGTCGTTTGGACTTGTCCCAACAGAAATATTCACGTAAATCCTTAAAATACAATATGCAAAATATTTTTGGATGTTCGACCCATAAAAAATTCCTGATTACATAGGTTGAATGTTAAACAGTCATCAAATACGCTTTTTATATATTTGCGGTTACATTATAAAACTGGATCCAGGATTCTTCACATAAATTCAGGAATATTATATTAAAACGGAATATTTGTGTTATTCAACTGGATGATGCGAAACTCCACAGAAAATGTATATACCTTTTGGCTTTTTTATGGAGACACAAACTATATGTGCCTGTGGAAAAGTGACGATTATTAGTTTATGTAGATTATATTATTCTGCAAAATCCGTCTCGGGAAGGACGTCCTTCTCCAATTGAAAGTTTTCTTAAAAAGTGTGCGAGGTATATCGATTCGAATCTAAAAGTGAAGGCTACAGTTTGCACTATAATTCTGATATACCTATACCGCTCTCAGTGGAATTAAGCCCGGCTACCTTAATTGACAAGTCTGCAACTTTAATTTTTTCAAGGCAAAACACAAGCACTACAGGAGAATCCTTAAGGCTCTAAGAGCGGTGCCTGTGCGAAAGTAGCGATTCACGTTTGATGTGAATCGCTGGAGATTAAATTCATTTAAAAAAAACCTTTTTGATATGTACCGCTCTTGGTGAAATCAAATGTGCCAAGTCACTTTCAACACCTCCCGTGAAAGTATCCACAAAAGACTGACACATCTCCAACCTTTCTTCGATGTTCCAGACTATCAAGGTTGCAAGTGATGTGTCTCCAGTCAGACGGATGGATCTTTTCTGGATGAAAACCAGTAGCTTCAAGGTATACTTAGAGACGGAGGTCCATACATGAGAACAATACTCCAAAGAAGATTTGATCTGGGCTTTATGAAGATTCAAAAGTTGCTGAGGTGTGTGCAGTTTTCTGGTTCAGAACAGTGTTCCAAGCTTTTGAGAAACAGCTTTAGCAATTCTAAACTCTAGCGACATGATTGTGCTAAGACAGAAAGCAGAGTTTGTCTGTCCTGACATTATTATATCCAATTCAGAGACATTTATCTTTCTGGAGAAAACCGATGCCTGGTTTATCGTGGCATTTGAATAGAACCTGGTTACTTTCACATGTTCCAGAGTATCATAATTGTTTATCGACTTAAATGTTTATAACAAGGATTTCACTGAATGTGTAAATCTAATTATTAACAGGAACCTGAATACAAAAAAGATAACAGTTGAACACATAGGAGAACAAGCGTAGATAAAGACAATAAAATACAATATAGGAGGCTTCTTGTAGCTAACCCAAATTGTCAATATAATACTATCGAAGACTGTAGTATACCTTTTTAACAAGTGCACTATTCACTGTGCTTCAAAATAAATTATAGTTTGTGATATTTTTGAAGAGACCAGGCATGTGGTTATAAATCTTTTTGCTTTCGAATATAACGTAATTTTGAAAAATGAGAAATAAAATTTTCTATGTTTTTTCACCACTTGTATTTGTAACTAACGTTACTGCAATTTCGTCCTATAAGGACATTTTCAAACTAATACAATCAACACAAGCTTGAAAATGTCCTTATTGGACGAAACTGCAGTAAAGTAAGTTACAAATACAAGTGGTAAAATTTTATTTCTTATTTTTCATGATCTATCACGTAGCAACGGCTACATGCATCAATTTAATAAAGTTTTTCGTTAAAGATGTAAGTATAGGAAGAGACATATTATAATTTCGAGGTATATTGTAATAGTATGCTCTTTAGATGGTTATTATTATTTTAGAGTTATGTAAATGTTTATGTCTGGTGTGAACGGGTGGCGTATGAAAACAAATTCCTGTTGATTTTTGCTTGTTAAAACCATATTGATGATCACTTGAGTCAATCTTAATATCAAAGATATTCAAGAAAAATTTTGTGTGATTTTCACTAAACAGTCTTACAAAAACGCAACACTTGTTTCGCTATACAATAGATTCTTCAGACGTGTTTGGATTACGTTATGGATTTTCATCAAGTATCGCCGATTCCATCACATACACATTAGGAAAATTTCTATTGATTTTTTGAGTAGAGGCTGAACTTGAGCATGAATGAAACTCTCCAATTCTGTAAAGCAGGTCGAGGAGCTTACAAAACGCTGGTGTACGTTCATTAGTATATTTTTCAGGTATAACAATCAGGACCAGAAGCTTTGTTGATGCTATCTTTATACTATGGTACTATTCTAATATCCTGCATCTTGCATTGTACAATGAGAATAATGGTGTTTGTCTCTGAAAATGAACTATGGAGTGGGATGCTATTCAACTGTGTTTGTTATTGGTGAAATTATGGACTTGGGTGAAATTGTGGATTTGAGTGAAATGTTGCCGAAGAGATTTAGCCTCTGACCAGAAAGAATTGGAACCGTTGGAACCGGCAATTGTGCTGTTCTCTTCTTCCTTTAATTCTCACTTTGCATTTGTTGCAAACATTAACAAACCCAATACGATTTTTGCACTATTTTTGAACATATGAGATTTATAGAGAACTTACTTGGATCTCTTGTGGAGCATGGTTTGTCATTAGAAGGTCGCCCAATTTACAATTATAAAAAACAAGTATAGCTGAGGCACCAGTCAATCCAGTAATAACACTGACGATCTTCAAACATGACTCAACCTCTGACGGAAGCAACAAACTTATACGAAGGTTTGAAATAGATAAACACTTCAATCTAGCAGACCACTATTATAATCTTCATGCAGTCATTGTTCACTGTGGTTCTGGCGTTAAATCTGGTCATTATTACGCATTGGTCAAAGACGAAACGAACTGGTTTAAGTTTGACGATAGTCGTGTCACTAAGTGTTCTGACGATGTCTTGAATTTATTGGAGCCTCTGGAGACACTCTACATTTTGTTTTATGAAAAAGAACATTGGCAAATTAAGATATCTACATGATGTGGTGCTGCAGGTTTTCCTGCAGCTGAAAAAACAAATGCGCCACCGGAATCAATGAAGTCGCCCCGGAGCGTCAATTAATTTTTGTTTCATAATTTCATATTACTTTCTTCTTTAATATATAATATTGACAAAGAATTATATCATGTTCAAATAAAAAAAAAGTTAAATGACTAAAAAAGGGTTTACTGCGGCTTTATCTGGTGATTATTAGCATGGCATGAGCCAACCGATATGTCGACATCCTCAGCAACTTCTCTAACGTCTTCTCGACCTTCTGTGAAAAGTTTGTTAACATTTTTCTGACTCAGAGTACAGTCACCGTATGCCACTGTCAACATTTCAAGTGTTTTTGAGCACTTAATTAAATGTTTACACAAAGTTTGATGTAAATTCTTTGATCCATTTGTTTGATAGCAAAAAATCGCCGAACTCGCAAAACACGTCTAACACTCATATGTCTCTCATCCACAAACTTTTTATGCATGCCACCAACAAACTAAATATACTGAACAGCTGGAACTGTGAACATATAATCGAGATGCATGTACCAACATAAAAAAAATCGCTAATCGAAAGTAATTTTTTGATAGTCCACTGATATTAAAAAATATCACTCTGTGTGTACTTTTTGCAAAGAATATCCAGTGATATTAAAACGAATAACAGCTTAGGTATATTCAAAAAACATCTGGAGTTATGTCTATTAGATGAAAATTGATACCCGCCGAGCAAGTTCTGTGCTTGTATTTAGATGATTCAAACATTCATTGTATTTGTTTGTGTACTCTGCTCATGCATTTACTTGTCAGCAAAAAAGTGTTTATTATCTATGAAATTTACATTGTCCGCCATTGAGGATGACAGTGTTCCATGTAAGTAAAATTTTAACTTTCATATACTATATTGTGTAGTAATCCTTCGAATGATATTTGATTCAATTGCATAAAGAATCTTTTGAAGTACAGATTGAATAGGAAAAGTGTTTTTGTGTAATTCAATGTTCATATGAAAGTAGTTGTTCCTTTAAGTATTTTTTATTTTGTGTAATTCAATGTTAATATGCAAGTAGTTGTATCAAGAGGGCTTTTTCTTCCAGATTGTTCAAAAATCACTTCTTTGTATGAACTACACATCTTTAAATAGTTTATTTAGGAATTAATAGCGTTATTCCTTTTCTTAGAAGATTCGCACATTTTTTTTTTGTATAATGATGGAGAAGTAGAAAGCCAAAACCTTCATTTCAATTTAGATAACATCGATATTTTCTGTTAGAACTTCGTATGCTCTGCTCAAATCATTCTGTTGAGCTGGTGGTTCTGATTGTGAGGTCCAAAAATAATAGTCTTATCATAATTCGGAGAAAATGTTGACAATGCAAATGTTTGCTTTCTCTAATTTTGCCTACACAGGCCACCTAATTATCTGACCCAATAATTACTTATCTGTTACAGTCTGAATTCAATTTTATTGCTGACTATCAATATGGAGTCAGTGCATCACAAAAAAAAATCTGTTTTTCCGTTAATAAGCTGTCGCCCCCATACGAACGACAACCCTCAGAAGTTGAGAAACTTGTGCGAGCTAAGGACTAACGAGGTCTTACCTTTTAACGTGTGATTCCTAACACAAATATGGAGAAAGTAAAATGATAAGTTAAGCTGACTATCAGTTTATTGATACTTGTTTTTTCAATTACATAATGAATATTTGTAGTAAGAACTGTATAAAAAAAAGTGAATTTTTGTATATTTCAGTGTTACCTCAATGTTTTGAAAACATTTTTTCTTTCGTGTAATTCAATGATTATATAAAATTAGTTATTTCCGATGGACTTTTTCTTCCAATCTGTATCTGAAAGACTTTGTAAAGACTTTATTTTCAAATTCTTTGCTATCTTATTTCCTTTGGAAGTTTTCTACATTTTTTGTATAAGGATCAAGAAGTAGAAGGCCAGTCATTGGCAGTCATTCATGTAATGGTAAAATTCAGATTTTCATGAATCTCGTATTTTTTTAAAATATAAATATAAAAAACGATGATCTACCCAAAAAACTTGAATTTATTCCTTATTATTGACATACATAAATCCCTGTAATATGTAAGAAATATCAATCAATATTTGCTTCAATTTTTAATATCAAAACAAGCCAACATCACCAACCTTCAAATTTGATAAATCCGAAAGAAATCTGTAAGACCAGGTGAACCCTTCATCATTATAAATTTATGAAAGAAAGCTCTGTACTATTTGGTCAATGGCTTGGTATGATATTCAAAATGAAAACTCAATATTGAATTTTAGTACAGAAGCTTCAGAATGTACAATTTGAACAAAAATAGACCTGCGACATTAAATGTTGGGAAAAATAAACTAATTACATGGTTCAACTCAACAACTTTACTGAGATAATCCATTGTCAATTCTGATCAAAATGTAAACACAACACACACAATCAACGAAGCAGCCATACTAATTTTGAAATTGGCAGCAAAGTATTCTCAATGAAAACAATTAGTGTAAATATATCGCCATCAAAATATCCAAATTACTACTAAAAGCAAAGTAAGTCTGTACCTATTCATTTGAAACTTATCTAGATAATTATAAAACAATCTAAATGGTGAGTGATTAGAAACAGACAAAATTTGAAATGGTAACTTGCAGTCAAAAGGAACTTGCGATAACCATCATTACGTCTATTACTGCATCAGACATTTTCAGTGATAGTCACTGTTTGCGACATTTGACTAGGGAGCATGTTCACTTCTATGTATACTAATAGGGAATGAGGTGTCTATGATAATTCCCACATTGTTGAACTCAATCCACCGACAGCATACTTATCAATGCGAACCAATCACAACAACAGATCAGAATTTTCATGGGCACCTCACCCCTATTAATATGAATATGAGTGAACACGGAGCTCCGCAGTCACTCGTTTCCGAGACTTTAAGACACTGTCTATGTCCTCGTAGTCAACGATACACCACTGAGGATGTCTGCCTCAGCAGATGAAAAAATTGGTATTAAAAGTTCCTTTTGACCACAAAACACCAACCCTAATCTTTACAATTGTGACCATCATCGTGAAAGCCTATGTTCATATATTGGGGAGTGATTCCTAAATAAAAATAAATTTTATGTACCTTCAGAAGGTTACCAAACAACAGTCGCAGAAAATTACTAACACAAACTGAAACAGGTTTTTTCAGCAACCTACTATTTAATGTATTTTTTTTGCTTTCGACTTAGCCAAAAACAAATTATTTCTCACTAGTCTGTTTGAGAAAATATTCAATGAAAGCTAATCATCGTCCTCATCATCTGACACATATTTCTTAGCAGACCTCTTTGGTCTTCCTGGCTTACGCTTAACCTTGCTCTTGCTTTTTGTTCTGGGAGTTTGTTCTCCATCTGAGTTATAATCTCGTTCATCCTCTGATTCCATCGTGGCTTCGATTTTTTGTTTTGCACTCGTGAATACTGACTGAAGAACGATACTGTCTTCGTGAATTATGGAAGCTTCTTCATTGTAGATTTGCGCATTTTGGCACAGGAGCATGAAGTCACGTTCCAAGTCCATGAACTCGGAATACTGAAAGAGAGAGGAATAAAGAATAAAAATACTATGGAATATATTTTAGAGTAAAAATAATATTCAATATCTATTCAACTTTGATAATAATGATAATAATTGTAATTTATTGAACAAAATTACAATTTTGCTCAACTCACTATCGACCGAAGTCCTTCCGCCCTTGCAACAAAATTGCTTGGAAATTACATAGCTTATTTCACAATATTACAAAAAAATATATATGAATATAAAAATGAACAAACAAAACAATTTCATTGATAAAGTTGTGTTAATTTTTCTAACAGTGTTTCTGTTGTGTGTCGATGTCGTACTCTTGCATGGGGGTTTCTTGTCACAGCATACTTTCTAATGATTTCTACATTGTCGTCTTTTTCAGCAAACTTCTGGGTAAGTGACGGTAGTCTTTCCTCAATAAGGATAATACCAGTGAGTTGGTACAGCAGAGGATTTGGAGGGTTGTGTTTGGGATTATTGGGATGCCTTAATGTTGTTATTTTCCTGGTAACCCTTGTTTCAGATAATTTAATTGTTTTCAAGGCCCTTTGTTTAATATTTGCCTTGTATTGAAAAAATATTAGAACTTGCAGTTTATAATCAACTCATTGAATATCTAGAAAATAATGATATAATACTAAAATATCAGTCAGGTTTCAGAAAACATGTGAGTCTGCATTACAAGTCACAATATCAAAATGGAAAGAATCAATAGATACGGGACATTATATAATAGCCGTATTTTTAGATCTTACAAGAGCTTTTGAGACAATTGATCGCCACATATTACTAAATAAACTGCAAAGTTTGGTATCAGGGAAACTGTTTTGTTATGGCTGACAGATTATTTATCACAACGCAAACAGGTAACCAAAATAAAGGATTCAGTGTCATCATCTTGCGATGTCGTTTTTGGGGGTACCTCAGGGGAGTGTTTTGGGACCTATATTATTTTTAATCTACCTGAAGGATATAGATACTATCCATGGTTGTGATTTCATGAATTTTTTTGCAGACAACACTTTGTTATCAATTTCAGGAGGTAATATAGAAACACTAGCTGATCAAATGAATAATGAACTAAGAAATGTTTTCAAGTACATGAATCACAATAAACTAAAACTCCAAAACAAAATATATGATCTTATCAACTTGTTATAAGCTATCACTCATCCACAAACACAACATAAGATTACAAATTGCAGGTGATGTAACAGAGTTCATAAGTGAATTCAAATACTTAGGTTTCATGGTGGATAATCGTTTAACCCTTCATGCTCATTTTGATTATATATACAAAAAAAATTAAAAAAAAATACACTTTTTCTCAAGAATTTCATCTCAGCTTTCGATGTACTCAAAAATTACATTATATAATTGTATAATCCAACCCCATTTTGATTATTGTGCTAGTCTTTTATACTCATTTGACCAAAATAAGGTATCGGCTTTACAAAAGTTACAGAATCGTGGAATGAGGATTATTTTACAAGTGAATAGGTATACTATTATATCAAACATGTTGAGTACATTGCAGTGGCTGTCTGTTTCCCAGAGACTGTAAGAGTTAGCAATGATATTCATTTTCAAACTAACACATAACTTGCTTCCAACTTATTTCGAATTCTGTATATATAAATATCAAATCCATAACCACTTAACAAGAGTAAGTAGCTCCCAAAAATTCCACCTTCCTTGAACTAATTTGACTAGTACGATGAAGTCTTTATTTTATTAAGGTTTGAATGAGTATAACAAACTCCCACTTTCGTTGAAAGATTCAATAAATGCTTTTCAATTAAAAAAAAAACTAATGGACTGTATAAAATCTCATCCCTAATTTTCTTTTTTCTGTTTTGTAATATATTTGTTATGTGTATCCTCGTGTTGAAACCATTCTGGAATCATTGAAAAATGAGTTTTTTTTTTCTACCAATCATCATTTTTGTTATTTATATGTTATTTATTTATATATTTTTAAAATAATGTATGTATATTAGAATGTCCTGAAGAAATAAATATTATTATTATTGAGAAACAGTGGGTGCGAGTATTCAATAAGTGGACGACAGAATAGTTTATTTGTTCGGTTTGCTGTTGATATGCTTGCACCTTCTACCGGGTTTGTCAAACTTGTGAAATGTGCGGCTCTTGCAATCACTTTCTTTTTTATGTTATTGACGTGGCTGTTGAAATTCAGTCTGGTATAAAACGCCTAGGTAATTAACTGTCGATTTTGCATGTAAGATATGTTGTCAACTTTTATATTTTCTTATTTTACACCATTGACTACCATATTAGACTTATCTCATATCATGTAAATGTGATCTGTCGAGATTAATGAGTAATAAATGATAATGAAGTGACTTGGTGAAATCCATACATATATATTTGAAGTAAAGTAAAATATTTTCAGCTTTGAGAAAAGGGTGTATGCATACAGACTGATATTTAAGGGTGAAAAATAACCCTATACGAGACCTGTTCCAATTTCTTAAAAGGATCATAATCAGTGACAAATCATAGGTAAATGGTAATGACATCGAGGCAACAGTCCAATTGTCCCAACGGAAGAGCCCAGGATATCCAAGACCAAAAAAAGCTCGCCAAGTTCGATCAGATGTCGAGGATTTGCTCACTATTCTCTTCGGCTGATTTCAACTTATTGCTTGATTTGAATATCCTCTGTATATAGCTTTTATTGGTTAGTCTTGTATTTTTTCTCAGTTATCAATTAACAAGATAGTTTTTATTGAATTTAAACAAAGCAATTGTTTGCAAAAATTGTCACTAATTTTTGGACTAGAAACTATTTTATAAAAATATGCTTAGCTTGGGTTTGTGAAAGCCTATATAAGTAACATTCCCCATACTGGAACATTCAAATTGCCAGATGCTAGAGGTGAAAATGAAACCCGAGGTTAAGTAACGTCATAAGTATCTATATGTCTATGTATTACCAAGTGAATACTTCTGAATATATTAAAACTCTGGCTGTATCATCCATCAACTGGTCAACACCAAGTCAATGAAATCATTTTTGGTTTGGTATATTTTGCTATAATGCTTGTTTCTTAGATCATATTAGTTTCCAGTTAATAGATATTGAATTGAAAAAATTACTCCATGTCATTTAAACTTAAAAAAAGTTTTCTTCACTTACCCTCCCATCTTCAATATAATTCATAATCTTGGTTATGTCCATTGGTTTTTTTATAATTGTGTAATAGTCGGGATATTCTTTCCTTGGAGGTAGTTTAATGAATTGATCACTCAACTGCCGACCATCCCTGAAATTAAGTAACATTAATACCAAGAAATATCAACAAAAAAAATAAACTCACCTATCGGTATAATTTATCACAACAGTCATCAGTTTCTTCATCTTTTTCTTCATTTTTGCTTCAGCTTTGTTTTGTGGAATTTTACGTTTTCTGCCAGTGCTACTGCCCTCTTCATCAGAATCATCGCGTTTCCTCTTCTTACGTCCTCGCTTCTTCTTCACCTCTTTCTCTTCTTCTTCTTCATCGTCGTAGTCACCATCCTCGTCGATGGCCTTCAACCATTCCTTTTCTGTAAGACTATCTGCATAATCTACTTCCTTTCTCTGCCGTGTTCCTCTGCCTAACAATGCATCTGTATCGTCAAAGTTCCAAGTCTCAACTTCTTCGTCTTGCTTTATCAACCAATCAGGAAGTTCCGCCTCTTGAATTAATCTATATTTCCTATGTGGACCCAAAGTTTCTTCAGCTGTTTTTCTTTCAGTGTCCATCTTCTGAAATAGCTGAAATTCATCTTCGTTTCTGGCCACCATTTGATTTACAGTTTCGTCATCTGGCACCTCATTTTCTTCCTCTTCGTCACTGCCATCATTGTGTAAAATACTTTGCAGGAATTGATGTCTCTCAGAACCTGTAGATTTTTGATCAAACATTCCAGCCTGAATAACTTTCTCGTCCATAGTAAGCTTATACTTGGCTGCAGCTAAGATACGTTCCTCCACAGAATTGACCGTCATCAATCGCAACACCCTAACCTCATTTTGTTGACCAATTCTATGGGCACGATCCTGGGCTTGGAGATCCTAACATAAAAAATGTCACTTGAGATTTGGTAACAAAGAATATATGTACAATCAAAATTATAATTTTAGAATCGATGTCTTTTGATCAATTAGTAAAAAAGAAAATTATTATCCGATAATTTTCGAACATTATTTTCTTGTTTATTTGATCACCTGCAGGTAAACATCCACAATGAAATGAATGGAAATGGATGAAAATATACAATTATAATTACAGTCCTCCAGAAATATACGACAGTTATGTTAAAAATAATAATGTTGTTTTTTACCATTTATTATACATCGTGCATGGCCAAATTATTGAGACTAAATTCAAGATATTGAGTAGAAGAGAATAGGTATTTAGGCACATGTAGAGGTTCACTTATAAAAATAGAAATTATCAAGTGTCAGCTTGTTATGTATATAAAAGATAAATGCAATGAAAAACTAAATAAAATAAACAAAACGTGGCTTATTGTCAATATCTTAGCTAGATTCAAGAAAAAAATAAACATCTCATTATTTAGGCAGAAGACTATTCAGAATTGAAATACAGAATATTTCATCCAACAGTAGTTCAAATTTGTGAAATCAATGATTTCTAAACTTGCCAATATTTTTATCCACCGAGTTTCAATTCAGTATCTAGACATTTCAAACATATTATTTTGGTTCTATATATTTCCCCAAAACCATACATGATTTTTGCACACATTTAGAAAGAAATTAAATTTTCACGTTATTCATCATTCACACAGCTCGCTCCCAAAGTTTAATTTACCTGATGAGGATTCCAATCCGAGTCGAAAATAATGACGGTATCTGCAGTCTGCAAATTGAGACCCAAACCACCCGCTCTGGTCGACAGTAGAAACAGAAAGTATTCGCTGTTCTTGTCGTTGAACTTCTTGAGAAGATCTCCTCGATCCTCAGACTTGATAGTTCCGTCCAGACGTAAATATTTGAAACCTCTCCAGTTCAGATAGTCCTCCATTATCGTCATCAGCTGTGTCATTTGACAAAACAGCAAAACACGATGGTTGGTGATTTTCAGCTTCGGTAAAATCCTATCTAGTAATTCGAATTTACCTGAGGCACGGTAGGTGTCGGGTCCAGACATGATACCTCCAGCTATACCGACATGGTCGCAGTACTTTTCTTCAATATTTGGAAACATAAACGGGTGGTTGCACAGTTTTCTGAGCTGGACGATGGTATTCATCAGTGCCTTAGCACCGCCTTTACCTTTGGTTCCTCTTTCGGAACCGTCGGTTAATAACACTCCCTTGTTTTGCATATGTTGATATAATACTTTCTGTAAGCCTGACATATCACACTTTATGATATATTCTACCTTATCTGGTAACTGAGATTCTACTTCTTTTTTCAGTCTTCTGAGAAGGAAAGGCCTCAGAACTTTGTGCAGACGACGAATGATGAGGATTGTTTCTTCTTCATTCAACTCTACCTATAAAATATAAAAATTCAAATAAAACATATCACAGTCAAATTAGTCAAAATTTTTTATTAATCTGTTGTTTAATAAAAGTGTACTCAATTGAGGTTTTAAAAACTACCTGAATTATCACAGTAACTTTTGAATGAAGAATAAAACTTAACAAACTATTCAATTTAATTTTGATAACTATTGAACAAAGAAACATTTTGATGTAATAAAAAACCTACATTTATATCCATTCAAAGATTTTTTATTCAATATTCCATATAATTTCAATAGAAAATTAATGTTTAAATTGAAAGAGGTATTTTTTCAGAACAATTTTTGGGAAAGAAAGTTTTTGGCTTTCTACTTCCCCATCTTCATTCAAATAATGTAGAAATCTTCCAAAAAGGAAGAAAACAATTCATTTCAAAACAAAATTTTTAACAAAGATGTGTAGATCATGCGAAAAGGTTTTGAAATGTTTATACAGGTTTTCAATGTTTATACGAAAGTAGTTGTTTGAAGAAAAGTTAAATTTTTCATTACATACAAAAATGATAGGGGTCTATATAGATGACAAATTAAACTTTGACGTACATATTGAGCATCTTGCAAAAAAACTGGCTAGCAAATGTTATGCAATTATAATTTTGAAAATCACTTGAATACTGCTGCACTAAAAACAGCATACTATGGAACCGTATATCCTTTCCTCAAATACGGAGTTATGTTCTGGGGTGGAAGCAATAACTTGGAACGCATTTTCATTATGCAAAAACGTCTAATAAAGAATATGCTCAACATAAACTTAACAGACTCCTGCCGCGGAATTTTTAAAAGTAATAAATTACTTGCTTCATATGGGATCTATATTTAAGTTTGTGTTATTTTCGTTTATGACAACAAAGAATAATTCATTATTCATAAAAACATTCACAAGTACTATACTAGGAACAATTCGAAACTCGTTCTTCCTAAATATAGACTAAGAAATACAGAAGAAAGTCCACGCTATATGGCCATCAAACTATACAATCATTTACCACTGACAATCAGAGAAGGCAGACGGCATACTTTCAAAATTCTAGTTTTCGATTTGTTGTGTAACATGGAACCTTATTCGATGCAAGAATTTTTTATGGCAACTTCATGACGATTGCAGAAAACAGAAGAAGGATAGATATTAGCCATCAAAATTTTTATAGTCCTAACAAATAAAGACATGATATATGCGAGAGTATATATTTTAGACAAATGCGTTTATATCTGTGACACTTATCTTTTTTCTTTTCTCTTTTTTTTTTTCAATATTGAGTTATACTAAAATGTACTCCCACGAATTTATAAACCTGTGATAATCTTTTGTTGTATTTCAGTTATATATTTATACCTTACTAACTTAAGTTTTCATATGTTCAATTCGAAAACTTCAATAAATCTATCTATTCCAGTTTGTGTCTGAAACTTACTTCTTTGCATGATCTATATATCTTTGCAAAGAGTTTATTTTGAAGTTAATTGCTATCTTCCTTTCTCTGGAAGATTCTCATGTTTTATGTATAAAGATAAAGTAGAAAGTCAAAACTGTTCCCAAAAATTAATGTCGACTTCTAAAAAATATTTGAGATGAAAATTTGATTTCCTCGTTTCATTTGTGGATATTTTTCAACATATATAAAGAACGTTATTGATAGGAAATGTGTCTATATTCAGGAAATGAAAACAATTGTAAATTCGCTGCAAAAAATGAAAAAAAAACAGCAAATTTCTTGCAATTTACAAACATTTTTTGTGATACATTTAAATTATGTGGTAGAGTATATTTTTGACCTATATGTTCCCAACTTTTCATGTAGCTATATAATTAATGGATAAAATGTTCAAGGATTATAAAAAATCTTACCTTTTCACCTGTGGTAGCAAATGGGGCATTGAACCATTGCTCGAAAGTGGAACAACTTTTGAAAATAGATGGTAACAAAAAGTTGAGTAGAGCCCAAAGCTCTGGCAGTTTGTTTTGCAAAGGAGTACCAGTTAACAGAAGGCGATAAGGAGCCAGGTAGTGTGTATTCAGTACTTGAGTCAACTTGCAGTGATGATTTTTCATACGATGACCTTCATCGATAATCATGTACTTGAAAGGCAGCTGTAAACATAAGAGTGAAATCAATAAATAATATTAAGGAAATGTAAAGCAACAATTTATTTACCTTTGCAAGAACGGATTTATCTTTGATAACATATTCATAAGTGGTAAGAAGAACATTGAATTTTGCGGCTCTCATCTGACTTTGAATCACCCTTCTTACTCCAGGAGATCCTTTATATGATATTACAACCACAGATGGTGCCCATTTTTCAAATTCCAACATCCAATTCGAAATAGTACTGGAAAAAATATCAATTATGAAAATATGAAATTTCCACCTTTTTTTTTTAATATTTTGAAATTTTGCTCAGATTTCGATCTTCAACAAATTCATCATAGGAAACTTATTTTTTTACTGCTTTTTGTATGAAACTGAAAAAATGTAATAAACAATATTAATTTCAACATGTGTTATTTGTGTGAGGCAAAGTTCAGAAATTCCAGCAAGCCACTATTCATTAAATAACGAATACCAGAATTTCACTATTTATCCTTGAAATGGTAAGTCTGACACATGTAAAAAAAAATTGTTCTAGATAATTTTAACCAGTCACACTATAAACATGGTATTTTCTATGATTTACAGGAATTTTACAATGACAAATCATTTTACGAACTATAAAATGTATTTATAATTAACATATATGTTCAAAAGAAGTTTTGTCTACAAAAACACTTTTCCCACATCAGAACAAAAGTACTGTCTCTCGAAGTGTGTTTCGCAACTCAAATCAGCTTCATCAAGTGACTAAAGCTAAATCTCAATCTGTGTTAATTTATTTATTTATTTATATTATTTATTTGTTACAAACTCTACAGACCATGGCCCAGTTACAGAGTAGGAAAGGTAAATATCACAAATAGATTTTTACATACAGCAAAATGACAAAAAAGTTATATATATAAAAAAAATATTCAACAAGAGTTGAACAATTTCATACAACCTATTTCTGAAACTAGTAAGATTTTGGAAGAAGATATCACAGTCATTTTGTACATTATCATAGGCATTGAACATATTATTTAACGGGGCATTTTGATAATAATTTGTTCTTGCGGATTCAATATATGTTTTCATTCACTCCTGGACGAACCATCAACTTATTCAATTCCTAGAATAACTTTTTTAGTTAATAAAAAATATTGTAACTATTGGTTTAAAACGGTTTGTCACAAAACTCAATGTGACAAACCAAATTCTATGCAGGCAAAGCCGCGGGCATCAACTAGTGTAACATATACGAGAACAAGTTTTCAACTAATTCTTGATATATTTGAATAGGTATGTTTTTGATGTTGAAACTTTTGAAAAATTTGATATACACTCCTTCATATTTGAATGTATGAATTTGTTTTAAATTCATTGTATTTTATTTTTTATTATTTCTGTATTTAAAAACATTATTATGTTACTTTCAAAGTTATGTCCGATTAGTTTTATTTACAAAAATGAGAAGTTGAAAAAAATTACAAAATTGAAGAAACTAAAAGTTAAACTTTCCCTCGGTTATCTTAAAGGCGCGATTTTGTTCCATCCTTTACATAAAAGAGGACGTATGCTTCGTATTGGTGACACGTGTGAATCGTTGTATTTGTGCCACGCGCTAGTATACGAGTGTCTGCAGTATGCTGTATAATGTCCTCTGTTAGTAGTCCCACTGTGATTTAAAAGTGCATATAGATTATAACAAGTAGCCACATTTTCTCCTGCAAAATTGTTCATATCCAATCCTTCTAGAGGAAATTCGATGACATCATTCAATTTGCCTCTACTTTCCGTTGGAGAGAATCTTTTTGAATGTATTACTAAAATATAGGGAAACTTGTGGATTGATAGGGACTTTATGCATTTTCTCCTTTCCTTGCATTTCGAACACGTCGGTTTTTCAATTCCATCCAAAGTTTCTTCTCTTGTAAAATAATCTAAGCATTGCCACAAACTCAATTGGTCGGTTCTTTGTGGTATGGAGAGAGACAAATCCCAGAAAGGATCAAATGTTACTGAAGAGTATCCACAGTGTGTGTCCGATTGTATATTAAGCTTGTCTATTCAAAATTAATCTGCCTTAAATAACTTTCAAATAAATGGTAGGTCACAAGATAATGAAAGAAAAACATGACAAGAGCCTTTTTCACACCAGATCCTTTATGAGGATTACTGTACAAAAACTTGAGAGACGAGAAACTTCAAAGACTAGTATTTGATCTTTGTTCAAATGAAATACCAAAAGGAAGACTTACATAAAATATGTTTAAACCACGAAAAAGTAGTTTGAACAGTTTACTGTATTCAATGAAAAGTATTTGAGACTGACAATGTGACCTAGTTTTTTCCAAAGTCCCGAGGGTAACAATAGAAATGATTAAGTTTTTAAAAATCCCTTTTATTTTTAATTTCAGATCTAAATGAACTCAATTAAAAATAACTCACTAAATAACTCACCTAAGAGGCACGATGATCAAAAAAGGCCCATTAACCTTTTTTTTCTCCATGAGATAGGTTATCAAAGCGATGGTTTGGATAGTTTTGCCGAGACCCATCTCGTCCGCAAGAATACCATTGAGATTGTTATTGTACAAGGACACCATCCATTCCAAACCCTTTATCTGATACTCCTTGAGTTTTCCGTTGACCATAATTGATGCCTGTTCCGTAACAATTTCGTGAACGGTATGTGCAATGCTGTAATAAGTCTGTTCTTCAACTGCATTCTTGTTGTATTCATCATCTTCAACTTTTGCTTTATTGATGATCTCTTCTGCGTTGATATTATCTTCGCCCTCTCCTTCGACTGACTTCTCTTCCTCATCTTCATCGTCAGTATCTACCATTTCCCATCCTGGATGCTGCTGTAACCAATCTTGCACCTCACGGAAAGTAGGAGCATTCTCACCAGTAACCTTATTTCCAGTAGCGGTTTCGATAACAGTTACTTTTCTGTCTGGTTCTTGCATTCTTTGCTGGTTTCTCTTGCGCCTTTCTTCTTCTTTTTTCTTGTTAGTTTGTTCTAGTTTGTGCTGCTTCACCATATCCGTCAAGTTACTGATATACTCATCAGTTTGGGATAGTAAGAAGGCCAGACGTTTATCTTTCTTCTGATCAATGAGCTTCCTATAACCTTCTTCATCTTCTGCCATCAACCTGAATTCATGGAAAGTAAACTCATCAATTCTTTTTGTGAAGAAAAAGCTGTGCGAAAGATATGCAGGTGTATAAAAACATTACAAATATTCTTACCTTCTCATACGTTCCTTCTCAATCCTCTCTTGTTCTTTCTTTTGCTCCCTCTCAGCATTGGCATGGTAATTAATAATGGCCTTGTTGATTTTAGCGAGCTTAGATTGATTCTGTCTGTGGAACTCTTTGAATTCTTTGGCGTGACCCAAAACAGAATTGAGGAATTCTTGATTCTTCTGTCTTTTCTTCCGCTCTGCTTCCAACTTCTGTTGCTTCTCCAATTTTTCTGTAGCTCTAGCTTCACGAAGTCCCTGTCGTTTAGTGCGTTTATAAGCTTTGATGTTGACTGCAGTTTCCAGAGTAGTATCTCGTCTGATACAGCTCAGTATCTCACTTCTCAGCTGTCTTTGGAAATTTAAGCAACGCAAAGCCCTGAGCTCGATTTGAGCTTGGATTCGTAACTTTTCTGACATGTCAGTGGGCAAGTTGCTAACCTGTTCTATGCGGGCTGCTATTCGAGCTGCTACTCGGTTTTCTCTCTCTTGTAGAAGAACAATTGGGTCAAGACCGCAAGGCTTAGGAATCGTGGTCAATCGGTTTTGTTTAGTCGGAACAAATTGAGCTCCAGGACCTCTTTGTTGATTGGCAGCGTTTTGACCACCTGCATTGACAACTAGTCAATAGAAATAAACCAAAAACATTCCCTTAAAATTTTTGAATTACCTTGACTTGCTGTTCCACTCGGGCCATTAGCAGGTGTTTCTGCACTCTCTCCACCAGTGGTACTGGTAGGCTGCTCAGTGCTTGGGGGCGGTCCACTACCTTGAGGTTGGAATGGGCTTGATGGTGGAGTAGGAAACTGCGGAGTACCATCTGATCTTTTGCCTTGTAAACCCAGTAAGATAGAATGTGGCACTGGCTGATTCCTAGCTAGACACCTATAATTCGAAATCAGTTTTGAACCCAGAGTAACAAAGTGAAGACAGTGAATGAATGAACCCTAGAATACAATAATGGGATTATATCAGCCAAATTTGAAGGAAGTTTTGTTATAATAACAATGGTCTTTATTGGGTGAATTAGGATATAACTAAAAGGCCCAAAACTGCAGTGTAGAACACTACAGATTTGTTCTACCACTTAATCTTAACTTAGATAAATGGTTCTGGATTGTCTGGATAGAAAATAGGAATGGACTTGATTGAATCACTTAGTGGTTTGAATATGAATAGCAAATCAATTAATCCCTAATTTTACTCAACATATTGAGTTAAATAGGCTTTAATAAGCCTTCAAGTGTCATATTTGAATCCAATTTTAGATAACTTTGTGTTTGTCTGTCGTAGATCTAATAAATAATATTGGAAAAAGTAATCAATGTCTCATCTGTAGTTTATATAAGGTCAGACCGCCAGACTAGAGCATTTGATTATTTAAAAAGAAATATTAGGGTACTCTCCTGTCAAAAATAGTCTGGGGTCTGCTGTGATCACAAAGAATACTTGTGAAGGTCATGGTATAATTAGCAATTTGTTTTATAAATTACTTACGCATTTCGACACTTTTTAGGTATTCCAAAGAAACATGCAACGAAAGCCAACCAGATTGATTATTTATGATTACCTGGGGTGATGTTATGGCATTGTTTTGCTGATTTTCATTTATTCTGTTTAGACAAAATTTAAAAACTTTGTGACAACTTCTACCTATGAATGAATATTATACGAATGACTTTTGTTGACGATATTACGTTAGAAATATGAGTGGCAGAACAGAATAATGAAATCAAAATAGGAATATTCAGTACCTATATGCCATAATCTGGTTTCTGAGCTGATTCATTTGAAGAGCCGTTAATGCAGAATTTGCTGCTGCTGCACTGGTTCTAGCTCTTAATGCAAGAAGTTGGGAGTATCTCTGGTCGTCCTGCATACCTTTTTCCTCCATTGTATCAATGGCCTTTTGCAATGCATTCAAATTGTCCGATGCTTGAGGACGAGGCTGTGGTGTCTGAACAGGCTGTACAGGAGATGATGATGGGCGTTGCACTTTATTAAAAAAAAAAGATAATGAAGTATGTAATCTTAGTTGAATAGAAGGATATGAAAATCTATATGAAAATCTTTAAAAAAAAGATAAAAATTCATTTTACTGATATAGTTCACAGAATGTATAACTGAATGAGGTTTATACGGTTAAGACACCTACTTGACGACACACTTAATTCATAAGTATGGAAATTAAAATTAAATGATGAATATCTAGGCTGTTCTGGATCAATTGATGGTTGACTTGACTTTCAATATTATTAACAATTCGTTAATAATATATAATCGTTGAATAGTAACTGAATGATGTGTTTCCAACCTTCCAAAAATCTCCATGATTAAAAAAATATGACAAAGTCATAATTACTGAATACTGAAGAGCTCGTGATGCACTGTTTGGAACCTTTGGTGTTGTAATGAATATTACTGGAGTTTTATCCCAACACCAAACCGTCATTTTTAAACACCTCGACACGTGTTTTAATCACCAAGTGATCATTTTCAGGAGGAAGATAATTCAATATTTTGAAACGCATGTCGAGGTGTTTAAAAATAACGGTTTGGTGTAGGGTTGAAACTTCAGTAATATTCTCTGAAGATCTCCTTGTAAGAGATTCAATCTCAGAACTGCCAAATAAATAGACGTTTGGGAATGATAAATGAATTGAGAGGAAAAATCTATCAAATTCAACTTCTAACCTCCTGATGTTTTACTACACCTTTGCTGCAGACAGTGTCACCTACATACTATCCCCAAAATTCATGAATAATTCAATATTGTTTACATTGTTTTCAAATTTTATACTCATTGCTCATTCATTTTTGCTTACATTTTTTCTGTTTCAACTAACTCATTCGTATATTTCGGCCTATTTTTTTTTTTTAATTTCAACAAGTTCACTAATTCTTTCATTTTCATTTTACTTTTTCTTCTACATATTTCAAATGTGATAACACTTTTTTTAAAGAATGGAAGTCAAAGTTGTAACATTCACACATAATTTGTTGTAGACGAATAGTTTTGTTACCTGGATAATGTCCTGGGTGCATATTATGAGACGGGTGAGTATTGGACTGAGGACCATGAGGATGTCCTTGAACACCTGGGTGTGCCTGATGCCCCTGTGGAGCCACTGGATGTCCTTGGTGACCCTGTGGAGCTCCTGGATGATGCATTGGAGGTGCTCCTGGATGACCTGGGTGAGATCCTACATGGCCTTGTGGTGGTCCTGGGTGTCCTTGGGAAGATACTGAGTGTCCCTGTGGGGCTACTGAATGACTTGGAGGTGCTCCAGGATGAACCTGGGGGCCTACTGGGTGGCCATGTGGAGGTGGATGCCCTGGGTGGGTCTGTGGAGGTGGATGCCCTGGGTGGGTCTGTGGCGGAGGATGTCCTGCATGGGATTGAGGAGGCTGCGGGCCTTGTTGTGGATAATTCATAGTTCCCTGAGGATATTGCAGATGAGGTGAAGCTCCATGTATTTGGTGTTGATCAGGATTAGTGGGAGGCAAACTGGAATGACCAGAATACTGGTTTGGGTGGTTAGGATAGTGTGATTGGGTAGGAGGTCCTGAAGGTGGTCCACCTTGATACTGAGATTGTGGAACTGGGGATAGTGGTGCAGGACTGTGGGATGGGGGTGGACCCATAGGACTTGGCGCTTGAGGAGGCGGCATAGGACTGTTTTGTGGAGAAGGACTAGCCATTTTTCCTGAAAATCAAAATCTTTACTTAATGGTATCATATTAGGGAATTTTCAGAATTTGTAACTATACTTTAGTACCTATGTGTGTGCCATAATGAAGGTGATTTATGAGTATGTATACAACAATAATTTTGATACAGTATTTTCTTCAAAAAACCATATACATTATACATATAATGCAAGTAATCGTTAAACTTTTATGTTCAGTTATGTAAAGCTTGGAAAATTTGCAATTACGTGGAAATCAAAGTGGAAATGAACCTGGAAATATAGTAAAGGAAGTGGAACAATGCATCAAATATTTTTCTGCGAAAGAAATTTACACCTCAAAACTGGTCACATCAATCAATTAAATCAACTGCATTTGTCGGCATAAAAAGGTTATTAGGGTCCCTTATCTGTCAAGCCCATACTAAAGATTCTAATGCTTACTTATGATCAGTTACCGCACAAAGATCATCGAAACTTGAAACCCTTGCTGTTATAACATCACGAATTTTCACTTATCTAGTCACATAAACGGTATAAAGTTCAGGGTTTTGGGCACTATAATGTCTGGAAAGTAAAAAGTAAATATCTCAAACACATACCGTCAAGCATCACTACAGATTTTAGTTCTTTGTCATATGTCACTTCCACAGAAAAAGTTCTTTGTCACATGTCACTACCACGGAACAAATTCTTTTCTGTAATCTGCGGTCACTACTCATACAACATATTCATTGATAAATCTGATTCGCATATAATGTATTTCTATTCTTCATTATTTTCAATAGATGAAATATAGAGGTACATCAAATGTACACCGGTTATATTGATTGAAATGTTCATTTATTGATGCCTCCACTTTGACATATCATCGGCATAGAAATCTGATCCATATTTAAGCATTAAGTGCTAATCTGTTGTGGCGCATGTCGTTACAAAACAAGACTTTGGTTGTCATTTTGGTATGATACTGTATTTCGAATTACGTTTACTCATGTTAAAACAGACATGATACGTTGGACTGGCCATTAGAGACCCTCATAATAAAAAGGATAGATGCCGTGGGTGGCATAACGAATGCTAACGTTTTATTAATCTCAATCTTAGGCTGAAAGTTTTAAATTACTCTAATCATCAATTTTATTGGTGATCAATTTCTATTGTATTTCAAAAGTTTGTACTAATGGTAACAATTAATTGTCATGATTCATTGAGATGAAAGATTTCAATGATTTCAAGCAGCTCAGTTTTTGGCTTTCTTAGAATATCCACGACATTTTAACGACCTTTTTGAATGTTTATATTCATGTGCTTGAACGAGTACGGCTACATGAATAATTCGTTCCAATGATTTGTTTGTTGGGATAATATCGCTTCACCAATTGTTATTGCACATAACATGATGACGCACTTGTCATAAGTAATCGCTATTTCCAATCAGATATTTTCAGAATACTTTCAGAACAACTGATGGAAGAATACGTTGAGTAAGTGAGAGTTGAGTAATTATGACAGAAATTTGGTTAACCAATACTTTTGAACATAAAAGAAGTATTTATAGATGATATCCAGGATTGTCCCTAATACTACCGAGAAGGATAATTGCATAAGCCTTCAATATAAATAAAAATCACGGTACAGAACTTGATATACGTTAATGTATTCATTGAATATTGAAATGATCAATGACACGATAATCAAAATGAGTATTTTTTCGGAAATAAATATGAATGAATTCCATTTTAATGTATCCAGAAATGTATCTTAACTTTTTTATGACATGTATTTTCATCATTCAAACCTGCATATTTAATTTGTTAAAAAACTTCTTCTTTGCGAAGGGGGAGGAGAATCACATCTTCCTTGACACCTCTTTATAGGAATCAGTTTAGATTTTTCTTCAAATAACAAGTAACTATCTTTATTCGTAACATAATGAACAAAAAAAAAATATTATTATTTTTTGATAATATTAGATAACAGATTACTTGATCCTCATTTTTTACAATTCGAATAATGTTAATTATGCTAATCGCATTGGGATTGGTTTTGAAACGCATCTAAGGAATAATAAAAAAGTTTCTTTTTTGAAAAACAATGACGATAATGATCCCTTAATAACACTAGTATTTCACACTTAGCCCTAAAGAATATGCATCCCAGCATCTTGTCAGCAGTGTTTGTTCGTTTGTTGCTAATTGCGTAGAAGAAGAAACCTAACATTTAACGCATTCAGGCAATGATACATTGTCTGCTGCTTTTTTAATATGACAACCATCAATATATTGCAGGTAACAATCTGTTACCGTCTGATATCTATATATTTCTTCTTCCACTTCTTCAATATTGAAATCGATGATTTCGAATTTTTTCAATTGCTGCAGAAGTTTGTTCAGATTGGTTAAATCTATTGTTCCATTATTCGGCTTTTTCTGGCGTAAATTGTTTATTTCGTCCTTGAGGGCTTCGATTTCTTCAGCTAATTTTACAGTTTCGTTTGCTCTTTCATAAGTTTCAAAAAGTTGTAACTCTTTCTTCAATATATTTTGTGTATCGTTGAGCAGGTCCTCAGCAGATTTTCTGGAAATAACGATATAAGTATAGGTGATTGTTTAAATAAGACTTTTTGTCAGTGAAATAGAGTGTTTTTCCATAAAATTAACAAACTAATGACTGCAAGAATTTTCCCAAACCTTCCTTTTCGGAGGTCTGCACTCGCAGGCTTCCTTAAATGATGATAACGAATCGAGAGAGAAGGTATTTTATACAAGTTGGAATAAAAAATATGATGTATCGACGACGATCGATAAAGTATTTCCGAAATCGAGGAGAGGACATTTGAGGTTATTCTATTTTGAAGTCAATTCAGTTCCAATGAAGCAGAAAAAGGCTCTCAGTATCCAAATGTATCAATGTGTCTTCACTAAACAAGAGATAATTAGTGAAACTAACTTTTTTGGGAGAATATAAGTATACCAAAAATCAAAATAATAGTTTTTATATATCCAGATCAACTCGAGTGAATTTGGAATTGGACTCTGGAATTATATTGATCCTCACTTTAGCATATAATGATCAAGAAATACAAATCCCAATCTGTCATAGAATTTTCAAGTTCACCAGAGTTATCGATTGAAATGATTATTAACTAATACGCACTGAAAATATATTCAAACAATTCTTACTCAACGAAATTGAAAAAACATAAAGGTAAATGCATCAAAAACTGAATATATGGTCTCTTAAAAATAAATACGACGTTTCTGAATGTTAGCGACGATAAGTTGAGCCTGAAATCTCACCTATTTACATCTGACATCTTCGAAATTTGCTTCATTTCATCAGACATGCTATTGAAGTTCAACAATGTTGATAATTCTTCAAAAAGAGTTTTCAGGTCTTGTTGAATTTCCTCTAAACAATCCGTATCTTCTTTCTGAAAACGAAAAGGTTACTCAAGACATATAGGTATCATTGGTTACTATAAGTACGAAGAAACAGTGGTACCATATTCTGAGAAGAATTATTTTAAGTTTAGTCAACCCCAACCAGTGAGCGACAATGTGAATTGCAGGTATTTAATATTACCTCCTCTGCTAAGATAGTTTCCAAAAAAGTGATGTCATCTGATACACTGTATGGTATATTCATAATGTCATCAGCCAAACTTTCCTTATTGTTCTTTTCAACGAAGTCTTGCCAACTTTTCAATTTTTTCTCAACTTCATCGAGGTGTTTCACTGTTGTGGAAGGAACATCAATATTCTAGAAATGAAAGCACTACATAAGCAGTTTTAAATTGAAAGGGGTATATTTTTAGAAGAGATTAATTTTTAGGATAGAAAAGTTTTTTTTTTCTACTTCTCCATGTTATATAAATGCTAATGCAGATTAAAAGTTATGCATTTCAGCCCTAGTGAGCGTGGGGGAAAGTGTCTAATCGCTTTTTATATCCAAGTAACACTTTATTGTGAGATTTTTACATGTAGCGGTTTACAAAACTGTTACAGGTGTTTCAGTATACAATAGCTTCCTCAGGCGTGTTCGAACAGTATGGACACGCTATATGAAATCACAATTTTTATTCAGTTTATGCAATAAACCTTTGTAACTGAAATAAATATTATTAAAAGGAAAGGTACACTACGTAATATACACTACGGACATAAAAAGCCCCTACCCTCTTAACTTTCGAACGGGACAAGATATCAAAGTCGGGCAAAATTTAGAGTGGAAATAGGCATCAAAATGAAAAGGAGCTTTTTGTGATACCTCTTTTTCTATGTATTTCATTTCTTATCAAACATTGTTTATTTCATTTTTAAATATTAGATTGGCTGTTTCACAATTGTTTAAGAATCTGCAAACAAACGATAGTTATCATAGTTTGAAGAGAAATGTATTGAAAACTCACAACTCACAGCTCTGACAATAAAAAAAACTAGTCACAAATCTTTTAGGTTATTTCATTAGTTTTGTCAGTGTCATGTGTTTTTGTAGCTCCGTATCTCAATGAGTATTCATTCTACTGTGTCGTGGTATACGCTGATCGTTAGAAAATTTTGTACCTTGTACACTGATGCTGTTAATTATTTTCCAAATTTTAATTTTCTGCCTCTTTTCAGCTTATTACTGTATGTCGTGGAGCAAATTCCGGCCAATTTTTCTCTACGAATTTGAATTGAACGAGAGCGCTTCCAAAACATCACGAAAAATTAACCACTAGCATTTGGCAATGCTAGTGTTAATTAAAGCACTGTACAACGGAATCAAGAAAGCTAGAGTCGATTTTTTTATACAATTCAAAGTTTTCAAAATTAGTCAACTAATTCGTCAACAATTTAAATTACATCATCTCTTGCCGTTTACGAGAACCGCATGCATTGATTCTTTTCTCAAAAAGTGCTGCTTTGGACCATTGCTTTTATATTACAGTTACTGTTGGAAAGTCGACAAGTACTTCTTTGAATAATCCATGATCTAGCGTCGAATCATTCAAATTATGGAATTCCTCTTCCAAATCCTTCAAACGTTCATACATTGCCTCCAGTCTTGAGTCGAGTTTTTTGTTGAACTTCTTCAGTTTTTGATTGTTTATTTCATAGTCGCTCATATTCTGATTAGCCCTATCTGTGGCTGCTGATAATTTATCCAGCAATGTTTCCAGTTGCCCGACGATATCTCCGTATTCATCGAGTAGTTTATCGAAAACGCGAACTGTAAAAAGAAAAAGTGTTAGAGATGATGATAGTTTTTAATTTTTTAATGTATCTAATATGTCTAAGTACATTACGAGTGCAAATACAGTACATTTCTTTAATGTCCCCCCTTTTATTATTGAACGGTTCAACTCAAAAAATTGAAATTTGGGATAATGAAAATTATGCATGAATACTTTTTATTTTGAAGTGAAAATGACAGATGAATTTTTCAAGATGACGACTGGGCGCCATTTGGGAAAAAGAATTCAATAGAAAGGGGGGTCTTGTGATACATCATTTTGAAGCTCCTGATGAATACTTCACAACCCTAGAACATGAAGTCAATATCTTCACCTACTACAAAATGACGGAATTCAATAATTTCCTGACGACAAACACATAAATATCGATATTTCTAGAAATATTCTTTTTTAATCTTCCATATGGTAATTTCATCAACCCGGTAAGGTTTGTTGAATAATTTTTTGTTTATGAAAACGACAAAAAATGTCAATACAACAATGAACATCATTGTTCAGATTATTCTCATTTAGTTATCGGTTTTACTAGTAGATCAAAATTCAACAGAGGAACTGTATTTGAATATGCTGGAAACTACTGTTGACCCTCTTATCACTGAAATCGTCGAAGCGAATCCTAATGAATTCGATGTGGATATTGTATTCCAACAAGATGGACAGACAAGTCAGTAAGTATTTGTATACTACTTTTACCGGTCGTAGTAATGTAGTAAAATAAAATAGTATTATTATTATTATCATCAACATTAATTCGTGGTATGTCTGATATTTTTTGAGAAAAATATTCAAGCATTGTCCATTTTGTTATCAGCCAAGTTCCCGTTTCTGTTTAAACTCTGTTTTTGCGTTAACCTAGCTGTCGTCCCACCACAAACGACAACCCTCAGAAGTCGAAACTTGTGTGAGCTAACGAGGTATCATCTTTCAACGTGCGATTCCTAACACGGGTTGGACGATAGGCAGTGAAAATCGATTGTCCGGCCTCGCGGCTCGAACCACCATTTCACCTAACGCGATGAATGAGTGGAACAAATTAATCAGAAAACATATAGGTTTTGTTTAGGAATTGAAGTACCCACAGTAAATATAATAACTGAGTGATACCTTTAGCATCTTCAAGTTTTTTGTTGAATTTTGTATTTGTTTCATCATCACATTGTGTAAACACAGATTTCACTGAGCACAAACATATAAAACACACGAAAAAATGAATCATAATGGATCTTTGAACTAACCTGTACTGAGCAGCTCATTCTTATCTGAAAAGTAGTACACGAAATTCATTATCTTATCATCATAGATTATGCGTAGTGGGTTCATTGTTTGAATGAGTTTAGCGAGACAGATCATTTACTGCATTTCATCTCCTACTGATCGGAAGGAAATAACCGTATGGAAACATTTTTCGTAACTTTGACTCATATTTATCTCTTATCATTCAGTGAGTTCAGTTCACAAAGAGAAACTCAATTTATAAAACAATACTGATTACTTTATTTTGATAACTATTCTGGTAAACGGTATTATATTACAAAATAACCTCTGTTTTCAAAATAGCCTCAAATTGCCACAATAGTACTTGAAAAATTGAATCAAAGTAATATTTCACGATAATAATTATACATTTTCACATTACAGATTTTTATTTTCAATACGCGTTTCGATACATCGTAGCATCCTCAGCTGGACCGGTGAAACCAGATATGCACAAAAAGCACAGGAACAAGAGTATCATATCAAACCCAGGTTATTGTACTCGATTCACCTATAATATTCCTTCCCTTCCCATCCCATCAACAACACAAATCAAGCTCTTAATGTTTTACATCGAGGAAAAGCTCTTTAGTCATCTTTATTTATCTATTAAAAAACTTAATAGCAAATTTCTGCTAACGCAGGTGCCTGTTTCGAAGATTTTTAGTATATCTTCAACGGAGGTCTGCCTGCCAGCTACTGATGATACTCAGTAGGCTGAAACGGCTGTGTATAATCGAAGTAAGCGATATAGTAATCTTAAAGCTATCGGCGAACTCAAAGGCAAAAAAAACCAATATAAAGGAATAATGCCGCTACGAATTAGTCCACGTGGACTGAAAAATTGGATAATTTTTTCTAACCGAGTTTTATGATTGGCTGAAGAGTCATAAAATAAATTTGAAGTCATGTTACGGTGACCAATAGAATGTGAGGATGGTTAGAAGAGTCGTGTTGTCAATGTTCAGTTCAGGAACTGATCGCGATTTGAGTGTTGATATTGGTGAAGTTATGATTACTTGAAATTTTTGTTATTTGTTTAAAATGTGGCGTCCTTGGACAAGTACTAATAGCAATAACGAGTGTGATAACAACGCATACTTTTTCCTGTGCAGTGATTCCAATGAGCTGGTGAACAATGCGAAAAAGAGATACCAGTGAATAAGATTCGGATGCATTTGAATACTGAACCACAAAGAGTATGTTGCAATGTATATAAGAATCTAAATATCACGTTTGGTTTCGAGTGAAAAAAACTATTACAAGCAACATCAGATTTGACCGAAATTCTTTTCTCAACTGTACGTAAAATAGTCAAAAACAAACCTTACGAAAGCAAGACGCGATTTGATGCGGGATTACCAAAACCTTCAGATGTTCATCTGATAAAATCATTAAAAAAACAATTTACGACTGTTACAAAAGCAATGGGATTTCTACAATTGAAATCATCAGGAAGAAATTGAATACTTCCGGCCATAACGTGAGCTGCTGTGACAAAACTCTTCAGAATTGGATGAAGAAACTAGGATTTAGATTTAAAATAACAAGCAGTTAGGGAAAGTAGAAGAATAGTGGAATTGCGTAACAAATACTCAGAACAAATAACTAAATATAGACAAGAACAACGGCAAATTTTCTATTTGGGCCAAACTTGGTATTATCCCGTTATTTTCGAAATCTTGGAATACTTATGCTCCGGTTGCTCTCGTCTGGTGACTGGGTCGTGAGTAAGTTTAGGAAAATGTCATGAAAAATCCGTTCTCTAATTCAGAATTCTTTTAGTTTCTTTTTTTGTTTTTATGGGCGCCACCCAGCTTAAAAAATATCGGTACCCGGAGTAACGTTACCCTTGGCTTACACTTCAAAATTAACACTTATTTTCTTTCGAACGACCCCAAGGGTCACAATAATAGTACGTATATGTGGGAACTAAATATTTGTTAGGATTATCTTTTCTAATCCAGAGCTCGCCTTTTGCAAAATCAGGGAGGGAAGGTTAATTAATCCAGGAAGGGATATATGCTGGAATTCTAACGGTACACGGGGAAATTTCTCCTACGTCCTTGCACAATTTCCATATGAAATAAAAAATAGATTCGGTCTGACCTTAGGATCCAACTGATTGAAGTCCAAGGTGAAAATTATTTATTCACCATTTCCTATCCAACTGCACCAATGAATTATTGTGATTAATAGTAATCTCCGTGTTACCAATTTCTATGTAAAAACGGCGTTATTGATATGATAAGGTATGGAGGCCTGACAGATCTACAAAAATAAGAATTGAATTCAACTTTTGATTCAACGATATAATTGTCAAAACGGATAAGGATGCAACCTACCTTCTTCCCAGAACAGCCTCCAAAATTCCTTTACATATCAACAAGTACAGGAATGTGATTTCGCTGCTTTTGATAAACCAACGAAAAATTTTGTACCAGCTAATCTTCTCGACTCCTTCGTTCTCGATCTCTTTACCGTTCTGTTAGTCGGGACATGCGCAAATTTGAATTCCAATATTTAAATCAAATAAATCTTTGAATTAGCATACGGTATGCAACCTTCCTTACCCTAGTAAATATGTTTATTCCAAATATCTACCGCGTTACTTGTTGATTTAGTAAGGTCATTTCGATTCTCTCTGAGGGATCTATACCCAGGTTAACAAAATTATCCCAACGTTTCTGAAGTGTTCAAATTTTACCTTACAGTATGACACTCACGACACAATTACGAAAGGGTGGACTGATGGTTCGAGAATGTGTACGCCTAACATGCCTGTAAACAAAGGATCGCGACTAATCATGGCATTGCGGAGGAAGTAAAGGATGGGTTTCGAATTCTTTGAAATTATGTGGAAAAAAACTCGGGGACTGCAATGTTGACTATCATAAAAACATGGAAGCTAATATTTTTGAGGAATAGTTTGAAAACACATTGATCCCAAATTTGGATGCGAATAGTGTGATAGTTCTTGACAACGCTTCCTATCATTCGCGACAGCTCATCGAAGAACCGAATATAAATTCGAAGAAAGATGAAATACAAAGTTTTTTAATGGATAACAAATTTGTATTTTGAAGATAACTATACCAAAAACCAACTTTTTGAAGTTTTACAGTAAAAAACATTTGAAGAAGTTTATGCCCTTGCGAGTATTGCTGAAAAGTATGGACACACCATATTGAGACTTCCCCACTATTTTTGTGTTTTCAATCCCATCGAGTTGATTTGGGCGTAAAAATGTTTTTCCAAAATTTGATAAGAAGATGAAAGAGCTAGTTAAAGAAGAAATATTTAATATTACCGAAGAAGACTAGCACAAAAGGATTAAAAAAGTAATTTTAGTTGAAAAAGACTATGTGGAGATTGAACACTTCCATATCAACGTTGGATCTCCATGTTGGTGGTAATCTTTGCGCATCATCCCTATTGTTCATATTATTATTACTTCGCACAAGCAATCAGACTGCTCAACCCCAGAAGCAAAACTCGGCACATGACAATACAGGTACAATAACAGAGGCAGGAGAGGCAGCTCAGGTAATAAGACCAAAACAGGTAGTCGAGCAAACACAGGTAGTGGCAGCAACGCAGGTAAACATCCATCCCTATAAATTGAGACACAGAGTTCGAACTAATCAGTCTGGTTGAAAAAACCAGACATCACTAGAAGATGGCAAATGAGACTTCGCTGAAACGTTGTGAAAATAATCCTTATGGGGACAAAATACACAGAACACGGAGCGAAACCCGAGAAAACAGCTCATCATATATATATATATATATATATAT